ATTAAAGATGACCTATACCCAGTGACTAACCCCTTAACTTCACTAATAGACAATTACCTTGATCTCCTATTCTCTAATCATGATTGACCCCTTGTTTCTGATTCTCACCAATTCTAATAACTGCTTCTTATTATCACTTACAGATCTTGATTATTAATTATTTTATATTTGATACTCTGACAGTTTGGCTTACTTCTCTTTAGTTAGCCAGATATTCATTTACCTTTAGAAGCATAGACCTTTTCTCGATCTTGCCCTAAACTAGTTATAGTATATATAAAATGAGCCAGAGACCTATTTCACTAGCTTGTTTACCTTTGTTACCTACTACCTGTTCTTCTTTTGATACTTGGTATTAGCCCTACCTTGTTAGTATCTAGATCTTTGCTAATAGGCCAGGCCTTTGATGGTCAATAGAACTATTGTCTGAATATTGATTTAACTTGTACTTGTGCTTCTCTCCATTATTATTCTTAACCACTTAATCAATATATTAATACTGGCTATATTCTACACAGAACTAGCAATATTCTACCTAGACTTTAGTGGGTAGTATATCTATTGTCATCTAGGCCCTTACCAGATTATACCTCCATATTTATAGAGCAACCTTTGTGTCTACTTGGATTCACAATATCATTATGAATCTCTTATCTATCCTGAACTACACATCAAAGTAGCTGCCAGCATCTATATTAGACATACTTGAATCTAGCATATTCCTTTAGTGACTTAAAAGCCTTCTCACATGTCATATATAAAGATTAGGCTCTAATAGTCTTACTTTAGAAGGATCCTATTAGATGCTATCCCACTTTCAATAGACAAGCTAAAGGACCTGGCATTCTTGGTATATTCTCCAACTTGATTTAAGCTGTTTGTTAATGGATCACTATACTTTTAGATTATAAATAATCATTCCCTAGAAACCCACTAGATTGAGTGCCAATGGTTGCTTTTTATGAGATTTGACCTCATACACTGGTTGTTTCTTGAAAAAACACCATAGTAGTGCAAGCTTGTATGGGCAAAGTAGGATATAAATATAAAACAATTTAAATGGCCTTAATTCTGTAGTTAGAGAAATATTAGCATGTATGAGTTTGAAAATAAGGATAGTATAAGCAAAATAAACAATATGCCTAATTTTACTAATCTATCCAACTTAGAAGATCATAGTTAGTAGGAAATAAATAAGCAGTTTCTAGTAGCCCATTATCATTACAAAAAGAGTATAGGTTCTAGTAAGGAGGATTTTTTGAATACCAAAACTTTTTATACTGCCCAAAAGAAGGTACACTTTATGAATAATATACTGAGTGGCCTACTAGTAGATGGACTTAGCTTCTTAGACAAAAAATGCTAACCTCTCTAAAATGAGGTAGACTAAAGCCTAGTATTTATGGCAATTTATGCCACTAAATTAAAAGTTAGCAAAAAAAAGAATGGGTAAACTAGGCAAGGACTTAATAAAACCTAAACAAACTACTGTTTAGATAAAGGACTTTAAATGAAGGGTTTTATGGCTACTAGCATTTGGAAAATCCCTTTCTCATATTAGATTCAAATCATACTTAATGATTAATAATGCTTAATCAAGATAAATGGGATGTATTATAAATGATTATTTATAATTATGTTTATAATTAAACCTGAAACACAATACTGTACTAGCTTCTCACCTGTTGCATTCATCTGGAAAAACACCCCCTTGTATTAGCTCCGGATTATATCTAATAGTGTCTAAAAGTATCTAAAAGTGTTAATAGCATCTAAAAGTATCTAATTTCCTAATTAGGAGCAACACATTGTGAGCATTGGATTGGTTTCTAATTTTATGATATTGGCACTAATTCTATACTAAGAAGTCTCTAATTATTAGTAGGAAATAATAAGTACTACTGCTCTATCAGTGAGAAGGTAAAGATGTGGCACATTCTATACTATTTCAGCATATTACTCTCCTTTATATATGCCTGCACCATTATCTTGTAGCTCTTTTGCTGACTTTCCAGCTGCTTTTATAAGGGATATAGAAAGAGAGAAATGTGCATTGATGCCCCCAGCCACTTTGTTGGCAGCTTGGCAGCTGCCACAAGAGGCTATGAAGACCTCAGTACCTTGGCCTTGCACACAAGATCATTCAAGTTATCATTGTTAGCCAATGCCTGCTACTGGTCATTATAGGACACAACATGTGGGTTGGACTTAAGGATATGCTATATGCAGCCTTATAGACCTTGTCTATTAGTATAGTGGCTAATACTGTCTTGTGCAGCACACAATCATCATTACTATTGATATTACAATTTTTAGCACTATTGATATTGTTTATTGCCTTGTTATACAAAAGATGCTCAAACTTGGTGTTTTCCTCTAGCTATCAGGCTGTGGAAAAGATAGTCATATTGTGATGTGGTGCCAGAATGATATATTTGCCTGCCATATAGGAAATATATGCATTAAGCATATTAAGATCACCTCCAACAATCTTGTGCTTATTTATATATAGGCATGCCATACATATACTCTTATCCCCACCCTCTACCTCACTAGTGGCTATTTGGAAAACCCCTCTCTCTTATTGAATCTTGATTATTCATAATCATGTTTTTGATCAAATTTGCAAATTTAGGTAGCATTGTCTATACTAGTAGAGTCCCATTGAATATTACACTCAATCATAGTTTTACATATTCTCAGTCCAAATTGTATAAGTGCCATAATTTATTTTTATCCTATATAAAGTGTATTATCGATTTTCCATTGGTTTATTATCTTCTTAGCTGGTGTTTAAACTAAATCCTGAAAGACCTGACTTTTTAGGTATTTATTGACCTATTTATTTATTTGATAGAGGAAAGATAGATGTTAAATAAAATTAGAGATGTTGAGGTTGCCTATATTATGTCTAGTTATTTAGATTACTGAGTTCATATCTTAGACTTTGTGGCTTAGTGGCTAGAGCATCTGTCCTGGGTGCTTGCATACATGAAATTGTTGGTTCAACTTTGGCAGAAGGCAAGTTTGTTATAAGGTATATTCTGTGTTTAGGTATTGAACTAGTGCTCTAATAGGCATGACTCTATAAGAAGGCTATGAGAACTGTGATGCTTGATTTCTTATTATTTTTACGAAATTTCAAGTTATAATGAATCCTAATAATTCCTAATTTAGGAAAATTATGTCTAATTAGAACAGGTTTAGAGGGGGGGTAAGCTAAAAATGTCTAATCCTAATCATTCTTAATTATGCATAAATAGAGCTAATTAGAGCTTAATACAAAGGTGTGGTTTTCCAGATGGCAGTAAGATGCATATGTAGGTCATCACAAATTTTGTCCTTGTAGCAGTGATACGCTAGAGGTAGCTCTAAGTGCCAAGCACAATACTAAAACAACCTCTAATGCAGGGGTGCTGGAGCTAGTATCTGATACACAAGGAATTGTAAGTGATGACTTTAGAAATTGAAGGTGTACTGAGAAGCAATTAGGGAGTGTGAGATTATAGTGCCCGAACGGTTTCGGGACTGCGCCGAACACCAACCGAACATTCGGTCGGTCGTGTTGGCAATGCAGTCGGTAACGAGAAGGTAGTGTTGCGACCGACAACTACGTGCTTCAAGAGCCACATGGGACTCTGATGATATACGAGGGAGGACGGGGGTACGAGCGAAGAGACAAGTACAAACGTGAATGAAGCCAAACGACGAGGATGATGAGTTTTTGGAAGTTGACAAAGATGATTTCGATGGTTGAGACAAGTGTAAATGAGCTCTGAATGGTGGGGTGCGAAAGCTGCTTTATTCCAGAGTTGTATGTAGGTTTTTATAGTAAACCGAGCCTTTAAGTAAAATATTAAACAAGAAATGAGAGTAGATGTCAAATGGGTGCCAAGCCTTAGCGATCAGAGAAGATAAGAAGGTAGGTGAGATGTCCATATGGGTTCCGAAGGTGACAAGGTAAAAGTTAATTAGCGATGGCGAAATCCCGAACGTTCGGGATCCGTCACCTGAGCGTAGGTAGATGGGACAGGCGTTGGAGAACCAATGAAAAGTAAAAAAGAGGTATTGTACAATCAGGGTGGCCAAGTAATGGTGCAAGATCACGTTTGACCGACCATGTGGAAGTCAGGAAGATAAATGATAAGGACCGACCGACTCACGGAGGACATCGGCCGATACAAAATACTGGCTCTGATCTCGTAAACACTTATTGTAACACTCCTGTGTGGCCATGGTGAGTACGTGAAGTGTGGGCGAACTGACCCAAGTGCTGTCAAACGTCCTTCGGTGGCTTGTCGTTGGTTGGGCAGGGACCGACCGTGTTCGGTGCAAGTTGGCATCTTCAGTACTTGTTGAGCACTGTTCGGTATCTCCCAAAAGCTTCCCAAATACCTCCCTCAGACCCTAGCGTGAGTGCATGCTCATCATCTCCTCCCTGCTGAAATCCTGACTGTCCTCAGTCAGTGGTCGGCGGCTATGAGTCGGAGTGGAAAAAAAAGTGGTGTGGAAAATGTGGTGGCGTGGATGTGGGAAAGAGTTGGTAACAAGCGATAGCGTGGAAAGAATAGCTGTGGCGTGGAAAATGGAGCGGTGTGGCAAGTTCTGTGGGAAAAGATTGGTTATGAGTGGTGGCGTGGAAAGGAGTGGGTGCGTGGGAGAGATGTGGCACAGGTGAATAATCGGCAAGGAGATGTCGTAGAATAGACCGGGTCGGCGCGCCAGAGAGACCGGGGCTGCGTCGGCAAAGTCCTGTGGCATGGCAACTGATTAGGTGAGGGAGTGGCTGCAGCCTAGAGTGTCCCAACTAGACGCTGGCATGAGAGCGTGTCGGCAAGGAGCGGTGATGCGTATTGTGGATTCTGCCGAGCGTAGTGGCGCGTGGCTTAGTCAGGTGACCACCATCACCTGATGATCGTTGATTCTCCAGCGACTAAGTCCCTCATCGCCCTCTTTCTGTCACTTTGTCTCCTCGTCCGCCTCTTTTCGGCCTTCTCACCATGTCATCCATCCTCTCTGCCCTCAAAGCCAAGCTCAGGGAGTACATGCTCACCCTTCCCGACGGCACCACCGAGTATGAAGATTACGAGGCCTGGATGCAGGGGTTTGCCAAGCGAGTGGTAAGTCCTCTTTCTTCCTTCAAATCTGCCTCTGATCATTTTAGTAGGCTGTGTTCGATCATTCGGCGCCGGGAGAAGAAGTGCCCAAACTTGCTGCCTGGGTCGCCGAAGCTGAGCGTGGCCTTGACCATATCGCCACCAATGACTGGCTCTCCTGGGGGTTGCATATCTTGCCCCAGCGTGCAGCGCGCTTTGCTGAGCTCCAACAACAGCAAGCCGCCGAAAAACAGGCTTTAGCTGAGGAGTTTGCGCGGGTGGCTGCCGCCGAACGGGAGGCCGGTGAAGCACGAGAGGCGTGGGCTGCTACTGCCCATCGGTCTGCTGAAGAGGATCGTCAGCGGCGTCGGGAGGCCTTGGTGGAGGCCATGTTTAGTGGGTTAGTTGATCTGGACAAGGGGAACCGACAGTTGGCCGTGCTGGAGGCAGAGTCCGCCGACCTTCTCCCTCTCTTTCTTCCCTCTCCCTCTCCTGCTCCCACTCCCGCCGCTTCCTCTTCCCTTCTCCCGCTCCCTGCTGACGCTGACCTTGCTTTCACAACTGAGGCCCTGGATCACATGAGCGTAGACTCGACCCTTCCTACTCCGTCGGCCGATTCGAAGGGAAAGCAGCGCGCCGGCGCCGTTATTGTTGAGTTCACTTGGCACCAACCGAAGGTCAGGTGGTCCTCCCGCTCCGTCTTGGAACGGGCCGAATGTCAACCATTCGGTCCCCTGTAGAGCGGAACGGAGCCGGGAAGCTTCTTCAGGATCCTCCAGGCCTGTTGCCGGGTGACGTTCTTGTAAGTCCCCTCCCTCTTGCCGCCTCTGTTGCTTGCTGACTCTTCCTTTTCCAGGCCGAGTACGCTTGCCATCGGTACGCGACCGAGTTCGCCACAGTCGCCCCTCGGTGCTACACCCGACCGGGCCAGGTCTCATGCCTCAAGTGCGCCAACGATCGCAAAGAGTGTAGCTTCCAGCCTGGGTGGACGTTGAAGGAGAAGGGGAAAGCCCAGGCAAAGGCGAAGTCGGGGGCGAAGTCGGTGGAGAATGAGCGGCTGATGAAGAAGCGCAAGATGGAGGTACTGGTCCCTGAGCGGTCGGCTGGTGAGAGCATCGCATGGTCAAAAGGTGAGTGGTCATTTGGTGATCATGGTAATTGAGCTCATCCTTGTGCAGCCGTTCGGAGTAGGAAGCCAGTCAAATGCCTTCCGACTACTACCCAGCACCTTCCTGTCCCCTCTCGCTCCAGTCGCCCTACTCGCCCGACCTCTACCGCCGCCCCTTCCCCCGAGCTTTCACGCCTGTTGCCGTCCGTTGCCCGTGGTGTCGCGTCCAAGATCAGATATCAGATTGCCGTGGCTGAGGGATTGTGCACCTTCTTGGCGTGCTCGATTACAATGTGGAGAGCCGAGTTGGAGGCCCTTGAGGCCCGGTCGGGTCCTTTAGCACCTTTGGACGTTGTCCTGGTCGAGGATTCATCGGAGGCCGATGATTCTGGAAGGTTGGAGTTGGGTGATTTTGTGCCCGATGACTGAGTTTGTAGAAATTTTAGTGTAGAAAAAAAATTAAAATGTAAAATAGAACTTGTCCAGAGTATACAGTAATGCCCATGGGCAGACCAGAGGTGTCATTCGGGAAATCAGTTGGTGAAATGACTGTGTGTGAATGTACTTGTAAGCGAAGCATTCAGCGGAATTTAAGAAAGTAAATTGAAATATTAGGGGAAGCCTCAGTATGTCATCACAGGCATAAAACCCTATGGTTTTGCGCAAATCGGAAGAAGTCTTCAATGCAGCTTGGTACTTGAAGGAGTGATGGGGAAAATGAGGGCCGACTATTTGGTCAGCGATTGGTCGGTGGCAAAAGTACTAAGAGATGTGGAAATGGTTGGGCGTCAGTCCATGTCTGTGATAAATAAACAAAGATAAGGAATGGGTATATCTGTGAATCCTCCTCCCTACTGAAATCGTGACTGTCCCCAGTCACTGACCGAAGAGAGCAAAGGGTGGGAGGGCGGGATCTAGTCAGAGGTTACCAAAGCCGTGTCGTCATCTTCTGCTGATCAGATGGAGCTGGTGTCAGTATTCTCTTCGTCGGCATCGTCGGCCTCAGCGTCGTCGTCGCTCAATCGGGATTCTTCCATGGCACGAAGGTGTTCTTGTGAGATGTCGAGAAGGGCTTCAAAGTTGGCAAGCTTCAGCGACCTGCGAGCAAAGTAAGGAATAATGTAGAATGCTGCTACTGGCCGATCAAAGACCAATCCGTCAAGTTCGGCCAAAATATACGCTCCCCCTCGGTTCCTAGAAATCACCAGCAATGGTCCCAAGTACCATGGTTGCATCTTCCGATTGAGCGCCTTTTCTATAGCTGTGTTGCACATAAGGACAAGGGAGCCTCAGTGGAAATTGAAGTTGCGAAGGGTGGCTGAATGCTGCTGTTCGAATCGGATAGTGGCCTGGACTCGGGCGCCGACTACCGAGCTGCGAAGGTGGGCAAGGTCCGATCGGTGTTTCTGCAAAGCAATGGCACGTCGAGCAATGAGGTCGGTGGTGCTGAGGGTTGTGGTCGGCGGTGGCAGGAGGTAGGTGGCTTCGGCGATGTCAAGGGGGAGAAGGGGATGGGTTCTGGTCGCTGCGAAGTATGGCGAGCAGCCCATTCGGTGCTGAACAGTAATGCAATCAGCCCAGAATACAAAATGAGCTGTATGATTCCACTTGGCCTGATCTCTATCAACGGCCTTGAACAGAGCCTGCCAAACATCGGAGTGAGGTCGTTCGGCGATGCCGTTGGCATGGGAATTGTAGCCCGAAATACGGATGTGCCGAATGTGGTACTTTTTCACTAACTGGTCGAGCGCCTTGACGAATGCTGGTCCATTGTCGGAGACAATCTCTACCAATGTTCCCCATCGGCACAGGATATCCTCGAATATCTAGTCGGCAAGAGCTGAGCTTGTTTTGTGTCAGAGCATTTGGAATTCGGGGTAGTGTGATACCAAACAGCGACCTTGAACGAGATACTTGAAACTGCCGGCGGTTGGCATGTGCATGGTATCCATATACATCTTCATGAAGAGTGGTGCGGGCGAGGTGACGGTTGGGGGAATGAGGACGTTGCGAGTCTGGTGAATCTGGCAAAGGTGACATGTCTGAACAAACCAAGAAATATCTTGCCTCATGTGCGGCCACCAGAAGCATTTGGCGATCAAGGCGGTCGTGGTGTAGAATCCCTTGTGAGCAACGTCGTCGTGGGCAGCGGTGAGAATTGTGATCCGACTAGAAGGGGCTGCAACAATCTTGTGTCGACCGTACGAGTCTTTTCTTCATAGCTTGTCGGCTGCGATAAAGAGCTCAGTGCAATATCATAGGAAGGTGGCATATTCAGAGTTGGAGAGAGAGGGGGGCCAAACCAATGTTCGGTGCCAGTTGCAGACCGGCCATAGGCGTTCTTCAGCTTCCAACGCTTTTTGCGATCTTGGGATATCCGAATAGTTGATAGTCGGGCCTTAGTCATCGGAGTCGGTATCGGTCAGGGGGTCATCTACAAGTGAGGAGGTGAAGATGGCAGTGGTCGAAGTTGAGATGGAGGTGGGGAACATGTTGTTGATCTGATGGAGGGGGCCATAGAGATTGTCAATCTAGTTATCAAAGTTGTCTTCAGGTTCGGGTCAATCGGCGGGTTGTGGTGGTTATTGGGAGAGGCCATCAGGGCCATGAGAGGTGCTGGGGATGTGGACGAGTGTGAAATGGAAGGTGAGGATGGAGACAATCCACCAATTGATGCTAGCGCTGGGTTCGAGATCCAGGTTAGTGAGCATGCCCTTGATGTAGCATGTGTCTACTTTGACTATCAGGTTCCGAACACTGATGAGATACATTTTGAGCAATCGGAGGGCGCAAAAGAGACCGTAGAGTTCGAGCTTCAGCTGGGAGAATTGCGATTTGCGGTTGTTAAGGGTGATGCAGCCGAATTGGGCATAGTACCGAACCTGCGGATTGTTGAGTGCGCATTGGCAGAGGTGGAAGCCAACCGCAATTTGTGAGGTATTGACTGCAAGGATGACGTTGGCTGCCGACCCATAGTCGATCAGCCGAAGGGCTGGCGACTCGAGCAGTGCCGACTGGAGATCGTCTTGGGCTGTTATCTGGTCTGGGCTGAACACGAATGGAAAATCTTTGCACGTTAACATAGTTAGTGCATGCGCCTAGTGTGCAAAATTTCAAATGAAGATCCGGACGACACCGATCGTCCCCAGAAATGCCCGAACATCCGAGAGATCCCTGCAAGGTCCCCACTTCATAATTGACTCTACCCTAGACTCATCGGGTAATCGTCCTTCATACGTGCACCGATGGCCTACCACCATGATTTCGGCTACACAGAGTGTCGCCTTGTGTCCCGAAAAGGTCCCTCCACTGTACTTCATCCGCTGGACCACCCGATTGAGGCCTTGAAAGTGTTCCTGCACAAATCGTCGTATGCTGGGGTTGTTGGGATGCGTCTCGAAGCTGCCATTCGGAAGTTTGTATCGGGTCGGTGGGCCCTAAATTGGGACATCGTCAATGAAAGGAATGGTGGTGTCTGGGATCTCTGGCTGGAGGATGTGGGTGACGTCGTCGTGGAAGATCAGAAGCAAATTCGTCCATCCCATGGGTAGGGTGACAAGTCGGTGGGCACCGAATGGGGTCTGGAATGTGGTGAAGTCGCGAGATGATTCGGTGAGCCCTCGTTCGTCGTATCTGACATAGAGATCCAGAATGCCACCGCAAGTGCGAGCTGCAAACTGTTCAGCGATCTGATCGGTATTTGGGGGCACACCTGAATGCTGGATGGTAATGGCGTTCAGAGGTTCGAGGCTGTGAACGATTCAGAGTTTGGTGCCAGTGGAGGTGCTATTTGTCTTCTTGACAATGTAAACCAGTGTGATCGGTAGGAAGAATTTGACGGCTCATAGACTCCAGTGGTGATCTTGGTTTTGATAAGTCGGCACACTTCGTCATAGATGCCTGGTGAAATCGGAATGTTGCGCTGAACCCAGGGCTTGTGCTTGACTACCGGCATATTGACTGGTGGGAAGAAGTCCTCGCGGAAATGTCCATGCTCCGAATCGTCCCAGGCGAATCCCATCTCTTATAGACACATGAAATGGTGCATGAGCTGTCGTTCGGCTGGCTAAAGGAAGTCGTCCGAGTGGACTTTGTCGATGAGGTCGCGTCGTTCAGCTGTGTATCTGCCAGTCGGCGTGAAGGGTGGGGGGTTCGGTGTCAGCATCAGGAGGGTAGCAAGAGGGTCACCAAGGATGTTCCGAACAATTCCGAGCTTTTCGGGGAGGTCAGCCAAGACTGGTTGTGTTTTCTGTGCAACCGGTTTGTACTTGTACTTAGTAGCGAAGATGGCGACCGGGTCGGCGATATTAGTGGAATGGAAAGAACCGGGGACGACTGAGGAAAATAAGGACAACATATCGGAATCGAGATTGTTTTTGAGATGATTTTCGGGCCCCAAATCGGAGGCCATAATGTACTTGAGACAAAGATCGCAATGAGAGGGAGATGTAGAATGGAAATCTGAGGACACTTTGATAAGTGGGAAATTGGGGGTATCATGATCAGTGGAAATAATCAGTGCAACTTCTCCTTGATCTCGGATCAATTCATCGAGTCACGAAAACCCGCTTGTCTTTGGTGAAGGACTCGAGGGGGTCCTCATCTGATCGTCGGAATTGTGGCCCGTCGTCCCGTGTTTGGGTCACTGTTGGTGATCATCTGGTCTTTGTTTGAATAATTCTTGACGATACTTTCGGTGAGGATGTCGAAGGGCCGACCGAGGAGAACGTTGTAGGCTGGGTTCTGAATGATGTGGACTTGGAGGTACAAGGTGATATCGCCGATGAGGAATGGGATGTTGCGTGTGAGGCCCAAGGATCGGTCAATTTCACCATTCGCCGACTGCATATTGAGGATGATTTTGGGGTCATAGATGAGCACCAGTTCATTGCAAATGCCTTCCGACATGGCGATGACTTGTGAACCTGGATCGATGACGCATTCGACTTCCTGTTGGTGATCGACGAGGGGAACAATGGACCTTAGGGCTGAAGATTCTTTAGCAACTATCAACGGCAGAGGAACCTGACTGGGCTGTAGATTCTTCAGATATGTTTTGTACATGTCGGGGATGATGATTGCGCCAGGTGGAGGTGTTTCAGGCTGGTGCAGGACATTGACGAAGGAGGAGACGGTCGGTCGAGTCGGTGGTTCGAGATCGTCGATGGCATAGGGTAGATCGGCATCTTGGTAGAAGGTCCGAACATTGCTGGTGTCTTTGGTAGGTGATCGGCGTGCTGACGTGGCTTCCCTGACCTGCGAACGGACTTCGGCGGAGAGGGAGAGTAGTTCGCGCTGGGTAAGCGTCACCTGAGTGGCCATCGCCCTGTTGTAGACCTCAGCTGCTACCTTCTCATCGTAGATCGGCGCCGTAGTCTTGTAGGCCGGAGCGTCCTTCTTTGCCGAGGGTATCTTCACCGGGGCTCCCATGTTGCGCTCGTGCGGTAGTGCATAGGTGGCGTCCTGGGCTTTGGCGTATGGGTGGACTGGTGCATCGTCCTTGGCTGGTACTGGGGGCGGTCGCTGAGTCGGGGACGTCGGTCGGGGCTCGGGTTCGGGAGTTTCGGTCCTCGCTCGTCGTTCGGGGGCCGGTGAAGGGGTAGATGCCGAGCGTCCCGTCTGCGCCATTTCTCGTGCCCTTGCGCCCCATGTTCGGAGCGCGAATAGTTCGCGTTCAAGGCTTGCGATCTGCTGGACGTCGGTGAGTTGGTAAGTCGGGGTGACCTCCAGCAATGAGGGTGAATCGTGACGGGAGGCTATCGTCATCGGGTGAGTCGGCGCCGCGTTTACCGTAAACATCATCTGTCCCGTCGCCAACTGGCCTGGATTCCTGCGGTGCCATTCGTCCACTCGGTCCTTCAGATTACTACCTGTGATTTCTCTGGGTACGAATGCTCCACTTGACAATACAACCTTCCCCTCGATATTCCTCTTGCATTTGCCGATCCGAATGTATTCGGTGACCTCGGGACAGGTGCGCATGAAGTGTTTGGGACTGCCGCAGAACATGCAGTTGTTGCTGCCTTGTCCTGGCTGTCAGGATGGTCGATCGGCTGGCCTAGACGTCCCCTGAGCTGCAATGGCTTTGACAAAGGTGTTGGTGAGTTGTTCAAACATGGTCACCAGGTCTTTGGCCTTAATTGCATTGGTGGGTGGTGCGGCAGGGGCTGCTTGAGAGATGTCGATAGCGGTAGTACTGTAGGCAGACGTGGTGCCATGCAAGACGAATCGGGCCGCATTGTGGATGTCCTGGAGGTTGTATGGGTCATCTGGGAAATGATCGGGGAACTTGAGTTGTAGACGTTGAGAGATTCTTGCCCATAGCTCCGGTTGGAATCCTCTGGCGAAGGTGCATCCTTGTTTGGCGACCAAAATTTGTGCCTTGCTGAGGAGGAATACCGTGATTGCCAGGAATCGCCGATGATAGTTGCCAAGTTTGCTAAGAGACAAGATGCCGACCCTGCTCATTTTGCCAACTAGCTTGTCCATATCTGATACCGACCATTTGCGCTCTTCCTCTAATCCAGAGTACAGCCTGTAGACTTCTTCACAGAACTCCTTGAATGTCTTTGTGGTGTCGGTGAAAGTGGTGAGCGATTCCCAAAGCTCACAAGTGTCGACGTCCGGGAATTGGCAAGCGTGTTTCTTCCTTTCCTGCTCGTCTTCTACCACAGATCGAACGAAGTGGAAGTCCAGATCGGCGAAGTATCGTCTCAATTCACGGGGTTGATGGGGGTCAAAGGTTGGAGCTGTTCGATCTCCACAAGCAGGCATGGATGGGGTTGCCATAGTGAGAAAGTCAAAGGTGGGAGAAAAGATATTGTTTGCTAAGGTGATCGGGGATGGAGTTGCTGGTTCGAAGGAGTGTTCTAGCGAAGTTGGTCAGATGGTCGGCGTCCAGAAGATGGGGCTGCGTGGGATTAACAGGGAGATGGAGTCGTGGAGAGATAGTATAGGAGACGGGGGTGATTGTTCTAAGAGTGCAAGGTCGAGGATGGGGGAAATCGGTGGGAGTAGCAATCAGTTTGGCAACGAAGGTGGGGTTAAGAAGAAAGTGGAGTCGGGTGGCGGCGAGAGCGATGGCAAGGATTCAAGATCAAGATAGTGATGGTGGGATAGATGCTCCGGGACTATATCGGCGTCTCCGAACAAACTTCGGTCGGCAGATGTTTCCTGAGTATTGAAACTGTCGATAACTGTTTGTCATTCTTTGCACTCCACTGTTGGTCAGGACGAGCGACGTAGATTCCTTAAGGTAATTTTGAATACTAACCCCTCGCGGTAGGCTCTAAAATGATATGCTAGAGGTAGCTCTAAGTGCCAAGCACAATACTAAAACAACCTCTAATGCAGGGGTGCTGGAGCTAGTATCTGATACACAAGGAATTGTAAGTGATGACTTTAGAAATTGAAGGTGTACTGAGAAGCAATTAGGGAGTGTGAGATTATAGCGCCCGAACGGTTTCGGGACTGCGCCGAACACCAACCGAACATTCGGTCGGTTGTGTTGGCAATGCGGTCGGTAACGAGAAGGTAGTGTTGCGACCGACAACTACGTGCTTCAAGAGCCACATGGGACTCTGACAATATATGAGGGAGGATGGGGGTACAAGTGAAGAGACGAGTACAAACGCGAATGAAGCCGAACGACGAGGATGATGAGTTTTTGGAAGTTGACAAAGATGATTTCGATGGTTGAGACAAGTGCAAATGAGCTCTGAATGGTGGGGTGCAAAAGCTGGTTTATTCCAGAGTTGTATGTAGGGTTTTTATAGTAAACAGAGTCCCTAAGTAAAATATTAAACAAGAAAATGAGAGTAAATATTGAATGAGTGCCAAGCCTTAGCGATCAGAGAAGATAAGAAGGTTGGTGAGATGTCCATATGGGTTCTGAAGGTGACAAGGTAAAAGTTAATCAGCGATGGCAGAATCCCGAACGTTCGGGATCCATTGCCCGAGCATAGGTTGATGGAACAGGCATTGGTGAACCAATGAAAATACAGAAGAGGTATCATACAACCAGGGTGGCCAAGTAATGATGCAAGATTGCGTTTTGACCAGCCATGTGGGAGTCGGGAAGATAAGCAATAAGGACTGACCGACTCACGGAGGACATCGGCCAATACGGAATACTGGCTCCGATCTCGTAAACACTTATTGTAACACTCCTGTGTGGCCATGGTGAGTACGTGAAGTGTGGGCGAACTGACCCAAGTGTTGCTGAACGTTCTTTGGTGGCTTGTCATTGGTCGGGCCAGAACCGACCGTGTTCGGTAAAAGTCGGTGTCTTTGGTACTTGTCGAGCGCTGTTCAGTATCTCCCAAAGCTTCCCAAATACCTCTCTCGGACCCTAGCACGGGTGCATGCTTATCAGCAGTTCCAAAGAATAAGAGGTTATAAAAGAATGCAGAAGCAAAGGATGGTGGCAAAGAGGGATCTAAGTTGAGTTCCAGTCTGCATGTCTGCTTCAGCCAAGGCCATATCCCACTCTCCATCATCCTCCAGAAGGCCATATGCAAAGCAGGCCTCACAAAAGGTTAGATACTCAATGCCTTGATAAGTGCAAATGTCTTTCCAGTCCTTGGCACCCTTAATAATAGTAAGCAAGGTCCTGAGGTAAAAGTGCTCTCCTACTGAGGGTGTTAGGACCACATCCTAACATGTGCTTGGCACGTGGACAGAAGGGAAGGTCAGGTGTTTCCTTGAACTCGAAATGTTAATGACTGGGACTGTGACTTGACACACGTCTAGGCATGTGACCCAGGACATGGTCATAAGCTACGCACATGACTCGGACTCAGACTGATTATCATTTACATGCTGACGCATGAACGCTTACATACTATGATCTCCTTTCCTATTGTGCTTACTGATGTTGATCGTGATTGAGTTCCTGTCAATCATGATTGAGTTTTTGATGGAACATTGCTGCGGACAGACACTTTATATACATTTCGATCTCTGCACTGTACCCGGCATCTGGTCCCTTCAGCCCACGCTTCATGAGCTCTGCCAGATCAAAAGAACCATACTTAGTCTGATGAAGCACTAGACTCGTCTCAAAACTCTTACCATCCTCTACCACCTGTAACCTATCAAGGACTTGCTGCTTATCAAGTCATTCATTGGGATCCCTCCGAAGTCATCTGTTGTATCGGAGAAGACTTCTTTGTACCAGACAAACAACGGCATCTAGTTAATCAGCATCTCCTCCATCTATTCGAGGGCAAGATCAATAGTGATCAAGAATTTCTGAACCAAGCCCAAAAATGATCGGTTGTCTTTATACGTTGGGCCATCACTATCACGATTAGCCTAGGGAACCCTTCTTAGTACGACAAGTACACGTAATAAGCCTGGCGGCTCAATAGTTGAGTGTTGAATACATGGTGTCCATGCTCTATTCTTCTGATTCCAGACATAGAAGGGAGGAAAGTCTTGATAAGTGTAAGCATGGGCAGTAGGATACTTTTGGTTGGCAATGAACCATTCAGTCAACTCTGTCTTTTGGGACTTGTTACTATTGAGAAGTTCTTTAGGATTGTCATCAAAATCAAAATAGACCTGTTGCTGATTAGGAAGATAAACAGGAAGATGATAGACTGAAGGAAACTCCAGATGCCTTGGGAATTCAAAAATGTTTCAGCAAGCCTCCATAGGTCCAGTATAGTGAGCATCCACATAGTCCTTAATCTCATCAATATCTCCAATTTTAATGGTGGCACAATTAGGACCTTTGTAGATATACTTGTGAATGTATTTGATAGCCTTGATAGAAGCACAGACCTCTACATTGATGTGGCAGTTATATTTGGCAAGAAAATAGGGATTATGAGGAATAACATTATGATTGTTGAACTGCATAGTGCCTCGAGTGAAAGTGTGCCCATTGTTTGGCCTAGCATATGTAGGATAACCATCTTCACCATAAAGGGTGTGCTCATTCAAGTCCTTTCAATAATGCTTGCTATAGACCTTGACCTTTGTACTGCCAATATTTCTTTCCTCCATACAATATGCTTGAGGGAATTCAGGGCCACAACGTCCATGAAGCATGTATTTGGTGACAGACTCATATAGCATAGGATAGGTGGCAGGATCAGAGAGCTATGCAGAGACAATTCGATCCACATCTTCAGCACTCTGAATTTTGTAGTCTTACTTCAAGAAAAGGAAAAGGTGCATGTGAGGAAGCCTATGCTTTTGAAACTCAATGGTATAGACCATGCTAGCAATCACTCCAAACAGGCCCTTCTTAATCTCCTTGAGCAAAGCCTTCATCTTTTGTGCAAAGACACATGCCACCAAATTAGGACAATCAGAAGGATTCTAAGTTGTACAATCATCATATTTTAAGAGCTCCTTTTGAATCTCTAGCCAACCAGGATTTGCAGTCATAGTAAGGAAGATGTCTGGCTTATAACAATAACAAGTAATAGCCATAGAGTCTTGGAAAAGCTGATATATATAACATGGGGTAGTGCACGTCGTACCAGGCGTCCTAGTTGAAGTTAATAGACAAACAGGCATGTGCTGGAGAATCAACTTGGTGTTTGATAACTGCACAAGTATTCATGGGTGCCCTGTGTTTTCCTTGCACATGGCATCTTTATGGGACAATAAAAACACACGATGTATTGTTCACTTGTACAGAATGTGTTGTGCCATGGCAAACTACTACTATTATGTGCAATAGTAAGAAATAGAAGAAAAGAGGGAAGTGGTAAGGCATACCGAGACACATGAGTGTGGGTAAAGTAAGCCAACAACGGTGGCGATGGTGGAGGTGAGAAGGAAAGAGAGGTTGCACTATGCCACTGTCATAGACAACATAAGATAGATAGCGCAAAAAGACATGGACCATGTCCAGACAGTGTGGACAACGTGCAGGTGAGATAGTGGGAAGTGGTCAACAGACAGACAACAGAGACAACAGAGACGATATGTGCACATAGTTTGACGGCCGTCTGTCCTTAGTGCCCAGGTCGGGCTGATCAATAGATTGGGATGCGTTTTGTGCACACATCGTGTGTGTGATCTGAATTGTCTGTGAATGTTGTGTGTAGAGACCATGGGGTGGTAGAATTAGAGGATGACAATGAATTATCTGAAAAATATATGGGTAACACAATAAAATAAAAAAAGAAGAAAAAGAAGAAGAAAAAGAGTGAAGGGTGGGCAGGCATAGCATTAGGAGATGGAAGATCGAGAGTTGAGAGTGTGGTCATTAGGATGTCACAGTCGAGCGAGTGGAGCAAGTAGAGCATAGAAGCAGGCATGGCAGAGAGTGGTGGGCATGAGATCGACGAGGTCAAGAAAGAGAGCAGGCATGTGTTAGATCGATGATGGGAACACGCAGGGTTGAGGGTTGAGGGAGTTGAGAGGGTTAGGTGGGTCAGGCAGGAGTGGTGTCCAGTGGGTAGAGAGGGGAGAGCTGGAGAGCGAGCATGGTGAGGCATGGACATAGGTCACATTAACAGCAAGAAGATACAGAGATGATGGAGTCGAGGGGGTTAAAAAGGATGTGGCCTCAAGGGAGGGATTGGGGACGATGGAGGGATCGAGAAAGTGGAGGGGATAAGGATTGAGGGAGAGATGGTGGAAAGTACAAGGGAGGAAGGTAGGCAGTTTTGCAACACTTAGTCGCACCCTTCCTAGCTCACTCCTTGCTAGCAGCTGCTCCTCACCCCCTCATTAACGCATTCGAGCATGTGTGGCATGATATTTGAAATGTTTTGGGTGCGGACGCAGAGCGCAAGTATGGCAGGGGCGGGGGCACATGAAGGAAGGGGACTGAGGGCAAAATCAGCTGAAGGGGTGATGGAGGCTGAGTGGACACAGTTGCAGGGCCAAGGGGATAGGCATAGGCGGGAGTGAGCTGCAGGTGAAGACGAGCAGATGTGTAAATTCACACAAAGATGGGTGGGTGGTGCCGGTGGTACGTGCATGGATGTACATGGGCTACAGGTGAGGGTGCACACGTGTATAAATACAACCAAAGGTGGGTGTGGGGGGCTAGTGGGACACGCGCAAGTTCAAGCACAGTTTGAAGGGAGAGCGGGGGTAGTGTCAAACAGGTTGAATAGGTCAAACGGGTAAGTGGGAGAGTATGGGAGGTGGAAAGTGGGGGTGGGGTCGAGCAGGTAGAGCGAGTGTTGTGTTAAGAGCAGGAAAAAGTGTGAAGGGGGTTGAGAGCCAAGGTGATGGATATGGACATTTGTAATGGGGCTTCTCTTAGCACCTCCTCTTCTATCTTCCTATATTCTATTGGATGGGCCAGCATAGGCCTGGGACGCCAGCTGCTATCGGGCCAAAGCTAACTTATCTTTCAGGATGCTTACTATTGTGTTTGCTTCTATCACCACTGCTTGTGTGGTTTTCCAGGCTGTGCTCTCGAAGTCATTGAGATGGCATACGTAATATGGCAGAATATCATTTAATAGTGGGCCTTTGGGGTGAATGGTAAATATGGTAAGAAAGCATCTGCTTATGTCTCTAAAACAGAGAACATCATGATCTACTAAGGTAATGCTGGGGGTGGTATGGAAGACATTGTAAATGGTGGCAGCAAACTAGTAAGATTGTTGTGAGACAAGGTTATAGTCAGAAGAGTACTCGTGGAGGGCATGCAACAGTGAGGCGAGGTCATAGTTGGTTGGGCTCATGTCCAGGGGGAAGGTAAGCATACGACAGACCATGTATGGCCTTGTCATTTTTTCATCAATGCTCCCAATAGGTACACCACTAAGCGGGGTGGTTATGTAGTCGAACGCAGGCATCCTCATTGACAGTGACGAGGAGGATGAGATGGAAAGACAGCTGAAAGAGGCCCTGAATGACCCGACTGAGGTGCCGGATGAGGTCTCAGTAGAAATGGTGAGGCCCGGCTTGATCGTGTTGGGGCGGAACTGGCAGATCTCTATGGTGTGCTCTATAATGATGGGAATGGTGCACTCGGTCATGGGGGAAGTAGGGTAGGCAAAGTCAATGATGAGCAACTCATGCATGATACAGTCCTCCCGCTTGCAGTGCTGGATCCTGGTGATGCGCGGGTGATAATAGCGTAATAGCGAGAGCAATGGGAGATGATGAGCGCCACCTAGTAGAGCACACTACATTTGCACACTGAGTTGTGATTGGTAAAGTAAACGTCATCCTCAGGGTAAGAGATGGTGCAACGGAAAGAGGAGTAAAAGGAGGATAGGCTAGAGAAGATGGAGTGCATGAAGGATATAAAGCGCATGGTAGCGGAGAGCAGAGAACTGGTAAATGTGGGCAAGGGCTAGGCTCAACCGACCCCCTCCTGAATGCTGAACACGTGAGAGGCTCGGATCAAAGTAGTTACTATCATTGGACAGGTGTTCGTTTTGGGATCAATAAAAAATCCATTGTCTCACAACATTTCTGCTTGATGGCCTCAGAGTTCTTGCACTATCTGGGAAACTTTTTTCTACATCATATATAGTTTCTCTCTTGATTTTCTCACTCATGTGTTAAAGAACTGGATTTACTGCGTGCACCACATGGTTTTTCCTCGGATAAACCATGGATAAAACTATGGATATAGATAAAGTTTTTGTTTGGGTTTATCTACGGGAATTACCAAAACAAAAACTTAAAGCTTATCCAAAGTTTTGTCCTGGGACAAAACTGTAACATAATCTTATATTTAAGCTTAGACATTTTGTTTAAGTTTGTCCTACGGTAAATCCCAGGATAAAACTCTGGATAATCTTTAACTCTTATGTCACAGGATTTATGTCACACATAAAAAATTGCAAATAATACCATGAAAATCATTGATTAATTCAGTGTTCATTATAGAGCCCTTTGGGCACTGTCTAGCACCAAATGTTAGATAGCCTTTTTATCCACAATATTTCTTGACCAACCTTGATAAACATGGCCTTCTGCAAAGGCCACCTTGCTATAGACTGTTTTTTTTTAAAAAAAACAATATGTAATTGTAAATATAAAGTGAAGCAGCATGGACAAAACTGGAAAAGCAATGAATAAGAATCATATTAGCAATTACGAATGATCAAGGCAATACAAGGGCTAGCTCAAAGCTAAATTCATCATAATAGTATCTAGTCTTAGAAAAATAGGGATTGTTAGTATAAAATCAAAAATTCAAGGAGAAATATAGTAAGCTGTGCATATTGTCTGATCCTCTAATACTCTCTTCACTACTGGAATAATTGTCTCTTGTAACAAGTGGCAGACACTGCAACAAACCACTGTTGCATCCAGTGCTAAGTGGCTGACACTGTGACAAACCACTGTCACATCCTGCACCAAGTGTCCAAAGCTATAATAGACCGCTGTCACATCCTGTGCCAAGTTTCCAATACTGTGATAAACTACTGTTGTACCCCACAACAAGTATCCAAAGCTGTGACAGACCACTGTCACACCTTGCACCAAGTATCTGATGCTATAATAAGCCACTGTTGCATCCCACAACAAGTGTCTGATTCTGTGACAAACCACTGTTGCACCCAATGACAAGTGTCTAATACTTGAGCAACAGTATGCAAGCACCAATTAAATGATTGCAAACAAGTCCATAGTTTATCCATATTTTTCATGGCAAAGACTATGGATTCAATTTATAGACTAGTGAACACACAAATATATATCAATACAGCATCAGACAATTGGCACAGGGTTCGATAATGGTTTGTCACAGTGTCAGATACTTGGCATAGGATATGACAGTAGTCTGTCACAGCTTTGGACACTTGGCATAGAATGTGAAAGTGATTTGGCACAAAGTTAGACACTTGTCATGGAGTGTGACAGTAGTTTGTCATACTTGGTGCAGGATATGATAGTGGTTTGTCATAGCATCAGACACTTATTGTGGGGTGTGACAGTGGTTTGTCACAGCTTTAAACACTTGGCATAGGGGTGCCACAGTGGTTTGCCACAGTGTCAGACACTTGGTACAGGATGTGATAGTAGTCTGTCACAGCTTTGGACACTTGGCATAGGGTACAACAGTGGTTTGTCACCACATTGGACACTTGGCACAGGGTGCAATAGTGGTTTGTCATAGCTTTGGATACTTGGCATAGGGTGCAACAATGGTTTGTCATACTTGGCATAGGGTGCAATAGTAGTCAGTCATAGTATTAGACACTTGTTGTGTTGTGGGGTGGAATAGTGGTTTGTCATAGCTTTGGACACTTGGCACAGGGTGCAACAGTGGTTTGTCATAGTGTCAGACACTTGGCACTGGGTGTGATAGTAGTCTGTCATAGCTTTGCATACTTGGTGCAGGGTGTGACAGTGGTTTGTTATAGTGTTAGAACCAAGTCCTAACACATGTATAGCACATAGTCTGGGAGGGAAATTAGGTGATGGGCATAAGCTTGGGATCCAGACTAATAACGTGGATCTATATGGATAATAAGGGCTGACTACTATATACATGTTTTAGCATGAATGCTTATGTATCGGTAACTCATTTATAAGCTTTGGCTTGAAGGTTTACATACGCCTGTTATGACATATTTCTAATTGATTCCTATTTGATTACTGATACAGACAGATATTTGATATATTTACTATATATGGCTAGGACAGAACAGTTGCAGAGTTTAGACTGTGGCTATGGATTACAAAGGTCAATTGTTGATCATACTTATAGCTAGAAGCATATACCATATGTCCATCTTGCCTCCATCTAGAAGACCACCCCTTTGTATTAGCTCTGGATTATATCTAATAGTGTCTAAAAGTATCTAAAAGTATTAATAGCATCTAAAAGTGTCTAATTTCCTAATTGGGAGCAACATATTATGAGCATTGGATTGGTTTCTAATTTCATGATATTAGCACTAATTCTATATCAAGAAGTCTCTAATTAGCAGTAGGAAATAGTAAGTACTACTGCTCTATCAGTAAAAAGATAAAGATGTGGCACATTCTATACTATTTTAGCACATTACTCTCCTTTATATATGCCTGCACCATTATCTTGTAGCTTTTTTGCTGACTGTCCAGCTATTTTTAAAAGGGACATAGAAAGAGAGAAATATGCATTGATGCCCCTAGCCACTTTATTAGCAGCTTAGCAGCTGCCACAAGAGGCTATGAAGACCTTGGTACTTTAACCTTGCACACAAGATCATCAAAGTTGTTATTATTAGCCAATGCCTACTACTAGCCATTATAGGACACAACATATGGGTTGGGCTTAGGGATATGCTATATGTAGCCTTGTAGACATTGTATATTAGTACAATGGTCAATACTGTCTTGTGCAGCACACAATTATTATTACTATCTATATTGTTCATTGCCTTGTTATATAGAAGATGCTCAAACTTGGTGTTTTCCTCTAGCTATTGGGCTATGGAAAAGACAGTTATGTTGGTATGTAGTGACATATTTGCCTGCTATATAGAAAATATGTGCACTAAGCATATTAAAATCACTTCCAACAATCTTGTGCTTATTTATATATAGGCATGCCATATATATACCCTTGTCTCTACCATCTATCTCATTAGTGGCTATTTGGAAACCCCTCTTTCTTATTGGATCTGAATTATTGATAATTATCAATAATACTAATTTAAGCTAATTATGGCTAATTATTCATAATCATGTTTTTGATCAAATTCACAAATTAAAATAGCATTGTCTATACTAGTAGAGTCCCATTCAATATTACACTCAATCATAGTTTTACATATTCTAAATCCAAATTGTATAAATGCCATAATTTTTTTTTACCCTATATAAAGTGGATTATTTATTTTCCATTATTTTATTATCTTCTTAGCTGGTGTTTAAACTAAATCCTGAAAAACCTGACTTTTTGGGTATTTATTGACCTATTTATTTATAAGAGAGAGGAAAGATAAATATTGAATAAAATTTGAGATGTTGAGGTTGCCTATATTATGTCTACTTACTCAGATTACCAAGCCAATATATTAGACCTTGTGGCTCAGTAGCTTAGAGCATCTGTCCAAGGTGCATATATAAGGTTGTTGGTATAACTCTGGCAAAAGACAAGTTTGTTATAAGGTATATTCTGTGTTTAGGTATTCAACTAGTGTTTCATCAAACATAGCTCTATAGGAAGGCTATGAGAATTGTAATGCTTAATTTTTTATTATTATTCCAAAATTTTAAGCTATAATTAATCCCAATAGTTCCTAATTTAGGAAAATTATGTCTAATTAGAACAGGTTCAAGGGGGGGAGGGGTAAGCGAATAATATCTAATCCTAATTATTCTTAATTATGCATAAATAGAAATAATTAGAGCATAATACAAGAGAGTGATTTTCCAGATGATGAACAATATAGATAGTGCCAAAAATTGTAGTATCAATAGTAATAATAATTGTGTGCTGCACAAGACAGTATTGACCATTGTACTAATATACAATGTCTACAAGGCTACATATAGCATATCCCTAAGCCCAACCCATATGTTGTGTCCTATAATGACTAGTAGTAGGCATTGGCTAACAATGACAACTTTGATGATCTTGTGTGCAAGGTTAAGGTACCAAGGTCTTTATAGCCTCTTGTGGCAGCTGCTAAGCTGCTAATAAAGTGGCTGGGGGCATCAATGCATATTTCTCTCTTTCTATGTCCCTTTTAAAAATAGCTGGACAGTCAGCAAAAAAGCTACAAGATAATGGTGCAGGCATATATAAAGGAGAGTAATGTGCTAAAATAGTATAGAATGTGCCACATCTTTATCTTTTTACTGATAGAGCAGTAGTACTTACTATTTCCTACTGCTAATTAGAGACTTCTTGGTATAGAATTAGTGCTAATATCATGAAATTGGAAACCAATCCAATGCTCATAATCTGTTGCTCCCAATTAGGAAATTAGACACTTTTAGATGCTATTAATACTTTTAGATACTTTTAGACACTATTAGATATAATCCAGAGCTAATACAAAGGGGTGGTTTTCCAAATGAACTATGTACACCTCAAGCTTGTGATGACATTATCATGATCTAATAACAACCTTTTGGCTGTAGTCACATACCTAAAGTAATCACCAAAAACTAAACACTGTTGACATCAACAATCACATTGATCACAATCTTACTGGTATGCTCAACAACCATGACTTGTTCTAACTATAGATAGTCCTTCTAATGATGCTCAGCAAGCTCTCAGTTTCAACCAAGCTCCCATAACAACTCTTTTTATCAATAGGTCATTTGCCAATTATAGACAGGGGCTATGCCCCTATCAGTAATTGCCAGTATGGTTAGTGACACAAGGCACCAATCTAGAAAGTCCTTAACATAAGTTGTTGGTTGATGCCCTAAATGACATGTTCTCACAAGAACAAGAATATGCCATTTAGGGTATCTTGTCTCACCATAGTCAAATTTCACCTTTGGCAAATTTTGGCTTTGTGGTAAGACAAGATACCCTAGATGGCATATTCTTGTTCTTGTGAGAACATGTCATTTAGGGCATCAACCAACAGCTTATGTTAGGGACTTTCTAGATTGGTGCCTTGTGTCACTAACCATACTGGCAACTACTGATAGGGGCATAGCCCCTGTCTATAATTGGCAAATGACCTATTGATAAAAAGAGTTGTTATGGGAGCTTGGTTGAAACTGAGAGCTTGCTGAGCATCATTAGAAGGACTATCTATAGTTAGAACAAGTTATGGTTTTTGAGCATACCAGTAAGATTGTGATCAATGTGATTGTTGATGTCAACAGTGTTTAGTTTTTGGTGGTTACTTTAGGTATGTGACTACAGCCAAAAAGTTGCTTTTAGATCACAATAATGTCATCATAAGCTTGGAGTGTACATAGTTGCATTCATTAGTAGTATCAAAGGAGAATAAGTGGGCAACAGCAAATAGGTAAGCTATACATGGTTTTCTGAAAGTAAATGCCTAACTTCTATCCTTGTTAATATTGGTTGAGTCACTGCTCAAAAACAAGACAAGTGCTATGTACAAGGTTAAGTGAACACAAAATTAATAAACTGTTGCTCTTACATTAGGGCAATGCTTCTTAGCTTTTTTGGTTAGAATCAACTTGCAAGAAGCACTTGTCTATTGCTGGGTTGCTCAATGGTCATGGTTGACATCACTGGTTACAACCTATTTCAAACCTGAAAATTTGGATGGATAGGTGCTTCAATCAGCAGAGGGTTTGAGCTACATAGCAGATATGGTCATATTGATACCACTCCAAGGTCCTAGTCAATGATAATGTTCACTGCTACAGCACAATCATATGTTCTGACCAGATAAGTTGCATATACTAACAACGGTGCTAGTCTATTACTAACTTTGAGAATGGGAATAGTATATGATCAAGTTGAGAGAGACATTGACATGCCTTAATATGATTGAGGCAGTTGAGTATGTGTGAGTTCTTCCTATGTGTTTCCAGTTTAATACACTTAAACTACACTATTGTTTCATACCTAGTACTAGGTTAGTTCATAAAGGGTAAGCTAGCATACACATGACTTACTTTCTAATCTTAGCCCAAAGTCTTGGTATGCTGAATAAAGTATGCTTCTCTATGGAACTAGTTATTAAGGCAAGGTACTCATGGGTATGGTTGTGTAGTTTGTGAATTTGAGCATCCTCTATCACTATTTGTTATACCATAACCTAAATGTCAAGGGGTTTCAATCCTTCCAAGTGATCAAGCCAGTGCTTACAATGCATGAAGTTTCCAAGGTCAAGGTCAAAATTACCCATGGTGCTTCATGTCTGAGGTATTTTTGCAAAATAAATATAGTCTCAATTATATTGCAAGGTTAATATTAGCTTGCAAATACATGTTCTAGTTTGAGAGGACTATTAGCAGTTAAAGGGGCAAGAGACTTGCAGACCCCTAGCAGGGATAGCTTTAGGGAACCGAGGGGAGCACATTAATATCTCTAGTTATATTTGGACTGCAATGGCATGTGCAAGTAGTGACTGCAGATAGCATTCCACTATGTAAGTAAGAGCAGGCTATCTTTAGACTACAAGGGCACATGTGGGAAGTAACTGCAAAGGTAGGAGCAAATTGTGGTCTATTGCAAACTATCTTTGGACTGTGAATGTGAGAACAGATTGTGGTCTGACTGCTAATATGAAAATGGACTATAAGGTAGTGACTGCAAACATGGGAATGGATCATGGTCTGACTGCTAATGTGAGACTGGACTATCTTTGGACTGCAAGGGCAAGGCCCAATTAGGAATATTGCAAGGTTAATCATGACCACAGTTGGCACCTTAGGTAACTATTGTGTTCCCAATTGTGACTGCAGTTATCATATACTACAGTCACATGGTTTCTCCTCCTCCTCAAAAAAAGCATCAGACAATTCATATGAAATCATTCCTTGATTCAAATATTGTAAAAGTGCCCACAATCAATTCACAGTAACACAATAAGAAAGTGAAAATCTTCTCTATTTCTCACTCAATTCATCCTTGCCACATATTATCAAGTCCCCTAGACAGAACAAAATGAAAGGTTCAAAAAACAGACATTGCAATTTATTATCAATTGTAAGCTACTAATTATGGCCTAAAAATCATTTTTGCACTTGCAGTGAGGGCAGCTCTCCTATAACGCCCTAGTTTGGAAGGTCCCAGAGGAAAAATGATAACTTTGGAAGGAGTAAGATTAGGGAGCTTATTTTGTGCCATAACCTGCTCTCACATAAGGTTTACACACCTTGAATTTTCCAGGGGGGGGGTTACTAGAACAAAAAAAGCAAAGCAGTAGTAATATGCAATGAAGGCCATTTTGGGAGTGGGAATAACCCTAGTAGGCAGCCCGCTATCCAAGATGGCAAGTCGCATGGAGGGATGTTGAGTGTAAGTTTGCCCACTACATAGCCCACTGCACAGCCTGCCATCTTGGATGGCGGGTTATGCGCTGGCACCTTAGATACTAACCTTCTTACAGAGACCTAGTACATAGCCTGCCATCCAAGATGGCGAGGCGCATGGAGGGGTATTGAGTATAAGTATGCTCATTACATATCTCACTGCGCAGCTCACCGTCTTGGACGGTGGGTTGTGTGCTGATACCTCAGATACTAACCTTCCTACAGAGACTTAGTACGCAGCCTGTTGATAAGCATGCACCCGCGCTAGGGTCCGAGGGAGGCATTCGGGAAGCTTTGGGGAGACACCTAACAGCGCTAGACAAGTACTGAAGACGCCGGCTATTACCAAACATGGTCGGTCCCTACCCGACCGACGGCAAGCCACCGAAGGACGTTCGGCAGCACTCGGGTCAGTTCACCCATACTTCACATACTTACCATGACTGTATAGGAGGGTTACAATAAGTGTTTACGAGATCGGAGCTAGTATTCTGTATCGGCCGATGTCCTCCGTGAGTCGGTCGGTCCTTATCACTTATCTTCCCGACTTCCACATGGTCAGTCAAACGCGATCTTGCACCATTACTTGGCTACCCTGGTCATACGTTACGTCTTCTTTATTTTCATTGGTTCTCCAATGCCTGTTCCTGCTACTTACGCTTGGGCAATGGATCCCGAACGATTGGGATTTTGCCATCACTGATTAACTTTTACCGTATCACCTTTGGAACCCATATGGACATCTCACTAACCTTCTTATCTTTTCTGATCGCTAGGGCTTGGCACCCATTCGACATCTACTCTCATTTCTTGTTTAATATTTTACTTAGGGGCTCTGTTTACCATAAAAACCTACATACAACTCTGGAATAAACCAGCTTTCATACCCCACAGTTCAGAGCTCCTTTGCACTCGTCTCAACCATCGAAATCGTCTTTGTCAACTTCCAAAAACTCATCATCCTCGTCGTTCAGCTTCATTCGCGTTCGTACTCGTCTCTTCACTTGTACCCCCGTCCTCCCTCATATATTGTCAGAGTCCCATGTGGCTCTTGAAGCACATAGTTGTCGGTCGCAACACTACCTTCTCATTACTGACCAAATCCCCGATACGACCGACCGAACATTCGGTTGGTGTTCGGCGCAGTCCCGAAACCATTTGGGTGCTATAATCTCACACTCCTTGCTGCTTCTCAGTGCGCCATCGATTTCTAAAGTCATCACTCACAATTCCTTGTGTATTAGATACTAGCTCCAGCACCTCCCTGCATTAGGGGTTGTTTTGGTGTTGTGCTCGGCACTTAGAGCCACCTCTAGCATATCACCGCCATCTTGGATGGTGGGCCATGCAGTGGGCTGCATAGTGTGCAAACATACACTCAACATCCCTCTGCATGCCTTGCCTTCTTAAACGGTGGGCTGCATATTAAGTCTCTGTAACAAGGTTAGTATCCAAAATGCCAGCATGCAATCCGCCATCCAAGATGGCGAGGCGCGCGGAAGGGTGTTAAGTGTATGTTTGCTCACTATATAGCCCACTGCACGGCTCGCCGTCTTGGATGGCAGATTGCGTGCTGGCACCTTGGATACTAACCTTCCTACTAAGATTCAGTACGCAGCCCGCCGTCCAAGATGACGAGGCGCGTGAAGTGATGTTGAGTTTAAGTTTGCTCACTATGCAGCCCACTGCGCGGCCCGCCGTCTTGGACGGTGGGCTGTGTGCTGGCACTTCGGATACTAACCTTGTTATAGAGACTCAATACGTAGCCCGCCGTCCAGGACGGCCAGACGCTCGGAGTGATGTTGAGTGTAGGTTTGCTCACTATACAGCCCACTGCGCGGCCCGCCGTCTTGGACGGCGGATTGCGTGCTGGCACTTCGGATAATAACCTTGTTATAGAGACTCAATATGCAGCCCGCCGTCCAAGACGGTGAGATGCGCGGAGGAGTGTTGAGTATATGTTTGCTCACTATGCAGCCCACTGCGCGGCTCGCCGTCTTGGACGGTGGGTTGCGTGTTGGCACCTCGCATACTAACCTTCCTACTAAGACTCAGTACGTAGCACGCCGTCCAAGACGGCGAGGCGCGCGGAGGGATGTTGGGTGTATGTTTGCTCACCATGCAGCCCACTGCGCGGCCTGCCGTCTTGGACAGCGGATTGTGTGCTGGCACTTTGGATACTAACCTTGTTACAGAGACTCAATACACAGCCCGCTGTCCGAGATGGCGAGGTGTGTGGAGGAGTGTTGAGTGTGTGGTTGAATGTGCATGCCAAAAAAAGTTTCATGTTAGGGTTAGGGTTCTGCCAGCCAAAAAGCATACCTAGGTTCATGGAAAAGGCCTCATAGCAATACCGCAGAGGCTCAGCCAAAGGGTGGTTCACATCACATGTGTATGGCTGCCCGCGACCCATCCAAGAAGCTAAAGTTGGTGCACAGGCTCGGCAGACGCATGACTGCTGGACCGCACAAAAGTGCAAATGAGGGGTCTGTGAGGCCTCCTTTAACGTGGGTTCAAACATCTAGGGTGCATGGCAAGAGGGGTAAGACAAATGGTGGTGTAGTGCACACTGCGGGGCCACTCATAGGTGCCAAAAGAGATGATGTTGGCATGATGGTGAGTCCCTCAAAAAGAAAGAGGGCAGTTGTCAATGTGGAGGGGGCTCGCAAGCACAAGCACTCCAAAGACAATATACACCATGAGGGTGAGGAGGTGAAGGTGAGTGAGATTTGGTCTGCCATGAGATGAGATATAACCATGCTTGTCATACAGGTGGGGCTGTCAAGTGCACCTATGGTGCACAGAATAGAGGAGGAGGAGGAGGAGGAGGAGGGGGCTGACCTTAACAGTCAGCTGCTTTGAGATGCACGTTATTACAGTGCACCTAGCATACCTCCTAGGCCACGGTTGCACTCAAGATGGTCACACATGAGTGGCAGAATCATGGATATGAAGGCCCTGATGGAGGAGGCTGCCAGCATCCTCAAGCGGTTCAAGGAGCCCATGACTCTCAGAGACCTAAGCCATTAGGAAAAGGTGCTGGCAGGGATGTTGTCTGCCAATGCGGAGGAAATGTGAGCCCTCATGGTGACTTGCAAGGCCCTGGAAGGGATGTTGGCAAAGAACAGGCAAAAAAGGGAGGTGTTAGTTTCTGTGGAAGATTTAATAGTAGTGACATCAGACAATTAATTTGACTCTGAAATTGTAATGCACATGTGGTTTGTTGCCACAGGAGAGGTGCTTAAGGGTTCAAATGGAAATAGCGCATCTTAACAGATGAAAGCCCATAGGACAATGGTCTCGCATAGTTTGTCACGTGGGATTAGCTGATGGCTAGTTGCTATTGGACCCCTACTATTGCCCTCTATTTAGAGATTGATTATGATACTAGAGTTTACTTAATATCTATAACTTAATCACAATATTATATCCTCTAAATCCAAATTGTATAAGTGCTAGATTTTTTCAAATCCTAAATAGAGTATATTCTCTATTCTTAATTAGTTTATTATATCTTTATGTGGTATATAAATCAAGATTATAAATGCCCTAATTTTTTGAATATTTATCAATTCAAAATAGATTATAAATAACTAGGGAATAGGATTAGATATGTTAAGACTGCCTAAGTTATATTAATATATTTGAATTACCAAGATATAGTCTAGACTTTATAGCTTGGTAGCTTAGAGCATCTATTTAGAATATATATAATTATAAGGTTATAGGTCTAATCCTGACCAAGGGCAAATTTATTATAAGATAAGACTTTAGCTTTAAAGTAGTAACCTTTATAGATGTCTCTAAGTTATAGGTTATAGTAATGGTAAGACATAATAGTATTGGAATAACTGCTATTTTTCCAAAAAAAACTATTCAACTAATTAGCTTCAACTAATTAGCTTTAAATAGAATGGGGATAAACAAAAAATCTCTAATGCTACTCTAGTTAAATTTCATAAAATTATCGATAATTTAAACTTAACAGAAAAGGGACATTTTCTAAATATGGTTGTTAGTATGCTTATTGTTAGCTTATCTGTATATGTGCTATGGGATAGTAGGTCTATAGCTAACTTTATCTTATTTGTACTAGCAAACTAGCTAAGATTGTATAAGTTTCACTTATGAAACTAATACTTATATAGCTTGCTAAATTCAGGTTATATATGTAACTTAATTATAATATGTTAATATGAGCTCCAATACTAGAGTATAAATAAAACTTTCCACCTTAATATTATTAATCCTAATAATCATCTAGAAAATCTTTCTTTTTTATTAAATCATAATTATACATAATTATCAATAATGCTAATTAGTATTAATTAGTGCTGATTATGATATGTTTTAGTTAATCATTTATAATCATGATTATGATCAAATCTATAAATCAATATAATGCTATTTATACTACCAGAGTCTTATAAATATATACTATTCTAATTATTATTAAATATATGCAAATTCAGATTGAGTAAGTGCTATAAATATTTTCTCTTTATATAGAGTATATTCTCAATGTTTTATTAGGTTTTGGTAGTAGTATCTAGTATTTAACCTTATATTTTAAAAGGCTTTTTTTGAGGGGTATACATTAATTTACTTATGAATAAAAGAAATCAGAGATAAATATTGAATAAAACCAAATATTTTGAAATTATCCAAAGTATGTCTATATATCTGAATTACTAAGCTAAGTTAGACCTTATAGCTTAGTGGTTTAAAGTATCTTGCTAAAATATTTGTAGGCATAAAATTATAGATTTAACTTTGGCTTAGGGCAAGTTTGTTATAAAGTATAATTTTAGATATTGATAATTAATTAATAGTCTTTATAGCTAGGCTCTGTTCAAAAGTTGTAGATAACTATGGTACTAGCAATATTTGGTTAAGTATTATTTTTTAGATATTTTGAGTAGAAATTATATATAATCAGAGCTAATTATGCATAATTCAAGCTGATTAGCCTTTATAAGCTATTGATAAAAGGGAGGGAAGCTAAAAAATTATAATAATAACATAGTTATCTATTGGTCCTTTTAGTAGCAAAACTAAATGATTTTTTTTCACACTATTGGAGACTCAAACAACTAAAAGTATGATACTAGTGTGGTACTATATATGCAAAGGTATACTAGATACCTTTTTTTAGACAATACAATGTTCCAAGAAAGAAGGCTGAGACAAAAAGTAGTAGAAAAGCCATAGTATAATGTTATGGCTCCTTTTGGTGGATTGTGCATAATATCATGCTACATAGCTACTTGTTCTTGATCATTTATCTTTTTTCTCTAATTCCACTTTATTAGTGAATAGTGGCAACACTATCTCCTCACTATTCTCTAAACTCTCCTATTACAAACTGCCTACTGTATCTTTCTTGCCTTTCCCATGATCTATATAAGGAACACATAGGACCTTTCTCCCAACTATACCTCGCATTCCTGATCCACTGCTAGTTGGTCCAGGCTCTTGCTTGTACATATTTATAACAGCTGCGGTGCAGTAGGAAAGCCTTAGGCTATCCACCTCTGTCCAATCTAGGAACTGCTATTCATCAGTCTTTCCTGATTCTGAAGCATTGGTCTGATCAGCTTTGCCTCTTCACATTCATCAACCTTGCCATCATCCTCCTTGTGTCTATACTGATTTGTGGACTAGGAATCTCTCGTCCCAAACAGCTGTTTGTGACATCTGGATAGCCTTACCTCAAATCCTACTCCACACCCTAGTTTCGCATTTTTTTTCACAGCAGAACACCAGCTACATACATATGGTGCTAGGCAGTCCCAAAAGACAAGCGACCGTCAACCGTAGTAGTTACTGTACACTTTAAGCAAACGATTGGGCGATTCCACTTCAGTGTGGGTCATTTCAGGTTATAGAATATCTCTAACTGGTAGTCAACCCAGTGGAGGTACGACCGAAACAATTGCGCTTGACATTACTTACTATATGATACCTTACAATACCTGGCCAGAAAGAGCTGCTGTTGCCTTGATCCTCAAACCTTGATCAGGTTAAGGCTAGCATGGGCTCTCTTGATCAAATCATCATGACTTCCAAAGGAAAGGGAGGAGAAGTAGGGTGAGTTCTGCATGGAACCGACTACTTGGAACACTCAGACTTGTACGTCTACCTCGGACGAACTATTAGAAGGAATTCGAAAGAAATCTGGGTTTACGTAGGTGGACCAGATAGCAGAAAACCCATTGATGCTCCACTAGTAGCCTGGGAAGATAGAAAAGCACCTCTCAGAACAGTCACAACACTGACCCAAACAAAACCCGCACTACCCCCGATCGATATTCCCAAGGGAAACATACCAGTTGACATTCCTAAAGAAGTCATCGAAAAAGAAGTCATCCTGGCAGGAGTATTAACTCTTGTAGACAAAGAAGACCCAGAACTGACACCAGGACCAAGCAACCCAAGATGTCTGGACCCAAACCCGGACCCAATACCAGGTACAAGGACAGCAAATACAAACAACGAAATGTCGTCAGATAAAGGAAACAAACTGAAGGACTTTGATGGAACCAGGTCCAAATACCAAGAATGGATCTACGAGTACTATATGTACATCCTGGCCAACCCAACCAAGTACACTACGGACATGGATAAGATCCTAATGGTACTATCATACATGAGGGAGGGAACGGCATTGTTGTTTGCTCAAAAATACTACTTCGACAGAGAACTTTGAGAGTACAAGGCAATGGAGACCAAGAAAACATGGGGAACGTTCAAAAAATTCCTGAAGGAACTAGCTGCTGCATTCAAAGACGAAAGTCTGGAACAAAAAGTATGACAAAAGCTGTTCACCATGAGGATGGGAAAATGCTCAGCAGACGAATTTGTCACAGACTACCTCATGACCGCTGGAGAAAGCGGATTTGATCTAGAATCAACTGTCAACTACTTCCGCCGAGCCATATACCTGGAGATCTTTAAACAAATTTACAGACTTCCAGAAATGCCAACCACGATAGATGACTGGGTAAAATACACCTGAAGATTTGACAACCAGTGGAGAGAACTCCAAAGCATAAAAAGCTCTGTCCCCACCACAATGCCCCGTCATAACAACCCCTTCTGCTATGATTTTTCCAACGCCCCCACTTCTATGAATAACTCAGTCGTACCCATGGCCATAGATTCTATTCACACTCCCCTCACTGACGACGAACGAGCCAGGCTGCGCGCAGAGGGTGGGTGTTTCTATTGTTGACAGAAAGGGCACATGGCAAACCAATGCTCTGCCAGGGTTTCATCTAGGGTACATGAAGGGGGAACTAGACATGTTCAACAGGGTAGTAGAGAAGTAGGGTACCGCCCAGCTCAAACCGGCAGAGCATTGGCCGGCAGAGGAGGAGGCTATGGCAGAGCGCTCCCGGCAAGAGCTCAGATTAGTGGCGAGACAGCAACTTCGGGCAAAAGTAGAAGCGTGGTGATGACTAACCTATTCTGGGCTAGACTTGCAGTGCACTAAGCCTATGCATCTGGAGAGAATGCATCTGTATGTCAGAAGGAGTCTGAGATTAGCTGAGAAGAGGTCCAGAGGGTTATAGGGAAGATGAGATGGGATGAACAAGAAGCGCTCCTCCAGGAATTAAGTGAAGGAAGTAAGTGAAAGGAATTGGATATGGATTTTTGAACCAGCCTACATCCTTAGTGTACCATAGGCCTGCCCAGAACCCTTATTTAAAAATAGTTGTACGACTTACAAAATCCAATCAAAAATCATCCATGTGCATAAACGTACAGCTGAAACACAAAGAGGGAACCACAGAAGCAGAGGTACTGATTGACTCAGGAGCAAAAGGACTCCTTATTGATAAACAATTTTGTCAAAAACAAGGAATACCACTTCAAAAAATTGACAGATTCATTCCAGTATTTAATGTAGATGGAACGGCAAACAAAGGAAGAAAGATCATGGACAAGGCATGCCTCCTCATGAGAATGACAAACAATGAAGCAACTATTATGATGAGCAATGCGAGCTACTCGCTACCAACCTAGGAGGGGAAGATGTAATTCTAGGAACAGACTGCCTATATGAGCACAACCCGCAGATTAACTGGGTGAAGAACCGCCTCACGTTCTCCATCTGTGCCAGAACATGCCTAGTCAGCCGACCAAAATTCATGATACAAGCACAACTCCTATTATGACAAAGGAGCACAAAAATTATCAGATACTCCAAGATAGAAGATGAACCAGAAGAAGAAGAAAACATAGATGAGACCTTCTTTTCTGAATTCTATGGAGAATGGTACCACCAAGACCCGTTTGAAATGCACCCGCTTGAAGCAATCCATGTTCAATCTGTCTATAGCAAATCACAAGAGTTAGCAGAAATAGCGAACAAAAAGAAAGATAAATGCACAATGGAAAAAATGGTCCCTGCATATGTTCTCAAACGTTTAGCCAAAGTCTTTAACCAAGAAGCCTCGCAACAACTCTCTGAACATTTGCAATGCAATCATAAAATCGATATGAAACCTGGATAGGAACCAAGTGGCTATAAACTATACCCCCTAACCGAAGAAGAAGAAGACAAACTATATGACATGCTGCAAGAGCATTCAAAAAGGGGGACAATATGAATATCAAATTCCCCACAAGCATCCCCATTCTTTTTTGTAAAAAAAAAAAAAGGAGATCTTAGACCAGTCCAAGACTATAGAAAACTCAACGAATGGACAATAAAAAACAAATACCCGTTACCCATGATCAACGACGTAATCCAAACTATAGCCAAATCGAAGGCAAAAGTCTTCTCGAAATTCGATGTCAAATGGGGATACAACAACATCCGCATGAGAGAAGGAGACAAATGAAAAATGGCCTTCCTAACCAAATTTGGCCTATTCAAATGCCTTGTTATGTTCTTTGGACTTTGCAACTTGCCGGCAATGTTCCAAACCATGATGAATATCATCTTCCACGACCTCATTATCACACAGGTCATAACGGTATATATGGACAATATTCTCATCTTCACAAAAACAGTGGAAGAGCATCAATGAGTAACTATTTAAGTTATGCAGATACTTTTAGACAACAACTTATTCTTAAAACCTTCCAAATGCGTGTTTGAAGTCGACACGGTCAAATACCTTGGTTTCATCATCTCCGCGGATAGCATAGCCATAGGCCCAGTCAAGGTTGAGGGAATTTCAAAATGGCCAACTCCGACAAACCTGAAAGAAGTACAATTCTTCTTAGGCTTTGGAAACTTCTATTGAAGGTTCATATAGGACTTTGCCACTATAACATGACCCCTGAATGACCTCACTAGAAAAGACACTCCTTTCACATAGACAGAAGAACGTAATGCAGTATTTGAAACCCTCAAGCTCTGCTTCACATTAACACCAGTGTTAATTTATCCTAATGGAAACCGACTATTCCGACCCGAAACCAATGCTTCCGACTTTGTATCTGGCACTATTTTGTTGCAAGAAGTCCCAGGTGATGGCTGGCACCCAGTAGTCTACTTATTAAAATATTTCAATACAGCCAAACAAAACTACAACATTTTTGATAAAGAATTACTAGTTGTCATCTATACTCTTGACCACTGGTGTATCTACCTTGAAGGTGCATAGTATCCATTTGAGATATGGTCCGATCATAAGAACCTCCTTTACTTCTCCACTACCTGAACTCTATCCCGCTAACAAGCACATTGGGCACTCTTCCTATCGTGCTTCTATTTCACATTAGTACATAAACCCAGTACCTCCCATTAACCGGATGCTCTGTCCAGGTGTCCAGACCTAAAACGGGGGGTAAAATTAGACAACAAAAACCAAATATTATTAAAACCCCAATTATTCGTCAAAAGCACCACAGGAAAAGGCACAGTTAAGATGCTAGACAGACAACTCAGGCAAGAACTGAAGAATATTACAGCGAAAGACAAAGAAGTGATGAAAGCAATGGAAGTTATCCAAGCATCAGGACCAAGGACACTTTCCAAAGGACTACAAGAATGGAACCTAGAAGATGACCTCATCTGGCATAGAGGCAAAATGTATGTTCCACCAAATGACAAATTAAAAAGAAAGATAGTAAAGATGTACCACGACTTACCTGTGACCGGACATCTAGGGCAATAGAAAATGTATGTCCTAGTATCGGACAACTTTTGGTGGCCTGGAATATCAATATTCATAAAAGAATATGTAACAGGATGCGCCATATGTCAAACAACAAAAAATATCACACACCCTATATATGTCCCACTAATCCCAAATAAAATACCAGAAAGACCCTGGCAAGTGGTAACAATGGACTTTATTACAAATCTTCTGCAAGTCGGACAATATAATGCAATCCATGTAACAGTAGACAGAAGCACCAAAGGAGTTATCTATACCCTATGTGCAAAAACTATAGACACAGAAGGAACCACTAACCTCTATATGAAAAACATGTGGAAATGATACGGACTCCCAAGAAAAATCATCTTGGACCAAGGACCACAGTTTGCTACTAGGTTCACTAAAGAACTCTGGAAGAAATTGGGAGTAACAATAGCACTAACCACTGCATATCACTCAGAGACAGACAGAGAAACCAAAAGAGTAAACCAAAAGCTGGAACAGTACCTCCAAGTATTCTGCAATTATGAACAGACAAACTAGCCTGAACTCCTACCATATGCAGAATTTGCACATAATGTCAAAGAACACTTAGCCACACATCAATCTCCATTCGAACTCATGTACGGCTACAACCCGACCTTTGCACCCCAAATCACCCCAAGATCCGACATTCCTCATATAGAACAGAGATTAGAAAGACTAGAACAATTACAAGAAGAAACCAAAGCCAGTCTAGAAGTCGCGGCAGAACTGATAAAAAGGAAAACCACCGAGAACAAAGTCAAACTAGAAGCAGAACAGAAAGTTTGGCTTTCGGGAAAAAACATCATCACCATGCACCCAAAGGACAAATTAGCTCCCAAATTACATAGACCATTTAAAATAGAAGAAAGACTAGGACCAGTTATGTACAAGTTAAAACTCCTGCCCACATGGAAAATACAACCCGTGTTCCATGCCTCCTTAATCATACCATATCGAGAAACGGCTGCCCATGGCCCCAATTATGGACAACCATCTCCTGACCTCATAGAACATCTAGAAAACCACCCCTTTATATTAAGCTCTAATTAGTTCTATTTATGCATAATTAAGAATGATTAGGATTAGACATTTTTAGCTTACCCCCCCTCTAAACCTGTTCTAATTAGATATAATTTTCCTAAATTAAGAATTATTAGGATTGATTATAACTTGAAATTTCGGAAAAATCATAATAAATCAAGCATCACAGTTCTCATAGCCTTCTTATAGAGTCATATCTATTAGAGCACTAGTTCAATACCTAAACACAGAATATACCTTATAACAAACTTGCCTTCTGCCAGAGTTGAAGCAACAACCTCATATATGCAAGCACCCGGGACAGATGCTCTAAGCCACTAAGCCACAAGGTCTAAGATATAAACTTGGTAATCTAAATAAGTAGACATAATGTAGGCAACCTCAATATTTCTGATTTTATTTAACATTTGTCTTTCCTCTCTTATAAATAAATAGGTCAATAAATACCTAAAAAGTCAGGTCTTTCAGGATTTAGTTTAAACACTAGCTAAGAAAATAATAAACCAATGGAAAATCGATAATACACTTTATATAGGATAAAAATAAATTATGGCACTTATACAATTTGGACTGAGAATGTGTAAAACTATGATTGAGTGTAATATTCAATGGGACTCTACTAGTATAGACAATGCTACCTGAATTTGCAAATTTGATCAAAAACATGATTATGAGTAATCAAGATCCAATAAGAGAGGTAAAGGGTGGGAACAAGAGTATATGTATGGCATGCCTATGTATAAATAGGCACAAGATTGTTGGAGGTGATATTAATATGCTTAATGCATATATTTCCTATATGGCAGGCAAATATATCATTTTGGCACCACATACCAATATGACTGTCTTTTCCACAGCCTAATAGCTAGGGGAAAACACCAAGTTTGAGCATCTTCTGTATAACAAGGCAATAAACAATATAAATAGTACTAAAAATTGTAATATCAATAGTGATGATGATTGTGTGCTGCACAAGACAGTATTAGCCACTATACTAATAGACAAGGTCTATAAGGCTGCATATAGCATATCCCTAAGTCCAACCCATATGTTGTGTCCTATAATGACCAGTAGCAGGCATTGGCTAACAATGACAACTTTAATGATCTTATGTGCAAGGACAAGATACCTAGGTCTTCATAGCCTCTTGTGGCAGCTGCCAAGCTGCCAACAAAGTGTCTGGGGGCATCAATGCACATTTCTCTCTTTCGATATCCCTTGTAAAGGCAGCTGGAAAGTCAGCAAAAGAGCTACAAGATAATGGTATAGGCATATGTGAAGGAGAGTAATATGCTGAAATAGTATAGAATGTGCCATATCTTTACCTTCTCACTAATAGAGCAGTAGTACTTACTATTTCCTACTAATAATTAAAGACTTTTTAGTATAGAATTAGTGCTAATATCATAAAATTAGAAACCAATCCAATGCTCACAATGTGTTGCTCCCAATTAGGAAATTAGACACTTTTAGATACTATTAACACTTTTAGATACTTTTAGACACTATTAGATGTAATCCAGAGCTAATACAAGGGAGTGTTGTTCCAGATGCCCTCCCCACCACCCTTGATCTGAGAAGAAAACGAAGGAGTCATCTTCCCTGACAGAGAGTCATACCTGACTGCCCCTGTCGCATACCTCATAGGGCTCATAGAGGGCTCATAGAGGGCTCACCGAGCATGGAGTTTGTGTCAGGACCCACCCAACCAGAGATACTGAGGGCATTAGAGATCCTGAAAGAGGAAATGGCATTCGTACAACACGTGCAAAGGGCTTTGTAGACATGAGAAGGAACCCTCATTGCCCACATCAATATAGGTGAGAGAAGACTCATAGGACTAGACCGCATCAAACCCCTTCACGACATGTTTCACTCCACCGATGACCCCACTCCTGCCAATGAGTACTATATGCCATCCACGGCTGTGGTATCTTGTGCCTCGTCTGCGGCTTCAAATAGAGGTCTGCTTTACCTGATGCCGGGGACGTATCCTACCAGCCCCAACCAAGGGGTGTATAGGTTCACACGTCCTTCCCTTCACTTTCAGGCTATACCCCTAACCTTTGGACTCCGTCACTTACTCTCTTGCACTCAACCCCCTATCATCGAATATGATTCTAGTGACTCTGACGCACTCCCCCTCGTTAATCACTGCTGCACTCTCTAAGGGCGCACGAACAATCATCCGGTACAATGTTAAACTGCTGGGGCAGACAACAGTTTGAATCCATTAGGCCAGTACTCACTGCCACGATGAGAAGAGGGACTCAGTTCTAGGATGTAGTCCCCATGTGGTTCTAATAAGGTAAGGTACTATAGCATCCATACTCAAGGGCTATCGTGCCATGGCTTGACAGTGGGCAGCAAGAATTGGTGCCCTAAGTATTATTTCCCTATGATTATAACAGACTTTATATGCATTGCTTATGTTTTTCTTGAACTCTTTTACTTACCGTCTCTAGCGCTGATGGCCTATAAGGGGGGGGTAATGTTACAAACTGCCTACTGTATCTTTCTTGCCTTTCCCATGATCTATATAAGGAACACATAGGACCTTTCTCCCGATTATATCTCGCATTCCTGATCCACTGCTAGTTGGTCCATGCTCTTGCTTGTATATATTTATAATAGCTGCGTCACAGTGGGGAAGCCTTAGGCTATCCACCTCTGTCCAATCTAGGAACTGCTGTTCATCAGTCTTCCCTGATTCTCAAGCATTGGTCTGATCAGCTTTGCCTCTTTATATCCATCAACCTTGTCATCATTCTCCTTGTATCTATACTGATTTGTGAACTAGGAATATCTCGTCCCGAACAGCCGTCCATGACATTTCCTCTCTTATGTGCTCTATTGTTAGGACTGTATTCTAACATATACTTTACACATGAATTAGGAGAAAAGTCAGGGAATACTCACAGAACTTAGATATTAATAACTAAGACCATGACCTAACATACACCTTGCATTGTTGTTTGTGGCCGTTCTAGTTGATGTGGCATGGGTGCCACATGGGTGCCACCTTTGGGACTCATTGATTACTCGCTTCTATAGCTAGGAGCAGCCCTACAGCCACTCCTAGAGCAAGTATATTGCTTTCCTTCTCCATTTGGACTGTCTCACTTTGTTTTTATTGTTTCACTGGGTTGGCTGACTCAGATGGTCCTGTGTGATGTTATTGATGCTCCAGACCAAGCTACAGGTAGAGCTTTTGACCGCTTTGTAATGTGGACCACCTTTAATGACCCGTTGATGTCATACCTTCCTTTTTCGTTTCTTATTGTTCTCTATAGCTTAAATACCGGTCCAAGGGTGATTCTTTCCTCAGACTCTTATCTTTTGGACCACAGGTGCGCTCCCTTGTGTTTTTTGTATCTACTTAGACTCTTACCCTCTGGACTATAGTCTTGTCATTATAGAGCTTCTTTTTGGCACTCTCTCTGTGCCAGTCACTTCATTGTTACTGTGCTCAACATGCATATAACTTGAGGGAGTAGTTATAAGATACATACATAACTTAGACATAGACAATAGACTTGGACTAATTACTATTTATATGTTAATATATGAACACTTACAATATATAACTCACTAATAGACTTATACCTATGTGGCTTACCAATGTTAATCATGATTGGTTCCTGAATTCATAATAATGTGGACAGACCTTTATTATAGTCACTATATTAGGATATATTATAGATTGTAGATTACTGATCATGATTGAGAACTTGATCTTTTAGAAGTCCTAATACCTATCAAATAGATTATTATTGAGAAGCATGGACCAGATCTTGATCCTACCCTAAGTAGCTTGTGTATACTTATAGCCAAGATGAGCTTCTAAGAGGCTTAGCTTGTTTACTTTGTATATAACTTGATCTCTGCACTATGCCTGGCATCTGGCTACCTTCCTAGCTCACACATCACAAACTTTACCAAATCTATAGTATCATACTTAGTCTGATGAAGCACTGGATTCATCTCAAAGCCTCACTCACTCACTCTTGAATTAGTACTACATATCAAGGACTCACCATCTATTAAGTTATCTCTTAGAATCTATCAGAAGTTGTCTGTTAGATTAGAGAAGACAGCTTGGTTATAAATGACCATTGTTCTATTATTGAGAATCATCATCTCCATTTGTTTAAATACATGGTTGATTCTAACTTGTACTTTCTTACGCAAGTCCAAATACATGCAATAGTCTTTATTTGTTAGATAGTCATTATTCAAATAGCCTATATTAGCTTCCATAACAAAATCAAGACCTTGTCTAGGAGTCTTTGGCTTTAGAGCCACAGAAAGCAAGGGCCCCCAAAGAGGTCTTGTTAACTTTGCCAGTAGTATCCTACTCTTGGCCTTTGCATAAGCATATTTTTTATCCTGCTAATGAGCATTCATCCGTACTAGGGTTCAAGGAAGGTATTTGGGAAGCTTTGAGAAGATATCAAATAGTGCTAGATAAGTACCGAGGATGCTGACTATTACCGAATATGGACAGTCCTCACCTGACTGACCATAACCCACCAAAGGACATTCGGCAGCACTTGGGTCAGTTTGCCCATACTTCACGTACTTACCATGACTGCACAGGAGTATTGTGATAAGGTGTTTATGAGATTAGAGCTAGTATTCCATGTCAGCCAATGTCTTCTATGAGTCAGTTGGTCCTTATTGCTTATCTTCCTAACTCCCACATAGTCAGTCAAATGTGATCTTGTACTATTACCTAGCCACCCTGGTCATATGTTACATCTTCTTTATTTTCATTGGCTTGCCAATGCCTGTTCCTGCTACTTATACTTGGGCAATGGATCCTAAATGTTCAGGATTTTGACATCGCTGATTATCTTTTACCTTATCACCTTTGGAACCCATATGGACATCTCACCTACCTTCTTATCTTCATTGATTGCTAGGGCTTGGTGCCCATTCGACATCTACTCTCATTTTGTGTTCGATATTTTACTTAGGAGCTCTGTTTACTATAAAAACCTACATACAACTCTGGAATAAACTAGCTTTTACACCCCACAGTTCAGAGCTCATTTGTACTCATCTCAACTATCAAAATCATCTTCTTTGACTCCTAAAAACTTGTCATCCTTGTCATTCGGCCTCATTCATGTTTGTACTTGTCTTTTTGCTCATACCCCTTGTCTTCCCTTGTATATTGTCAGAGTTTTGTGTGGCTCCAAAAGCACATAGTTGTTGGTCGTAATACTACCTTCTTGTCACTGATTAATTCCCTGACCTGACTCAACTAACCGAACATTCAGTTAGTGTTTGGTGTAGTCCCAAAACCATTCAGGCACTTTCATCTTACCCCCCTCATTACTCTTCAGTGTGCCCTCACTTTCTCAAGTCCTAACTAATAATTCCCTGTATATCAGATACCAGCTCCAGCACCCCCCTGCATTAAAGGTTATTTTGGTGTTGTGCTCGGCACTCAGAGCCACCTCCAGCACATCATTGCTTTACTTTTTTTTTCTTTCCATCTTCTTATTCTTTCTCTTCTTCTCAACTTCTCTACCCTGCCATTGCTTCATCAAATCTCCCTAAGCCACATTCTTAATCCAATGTGTCTTCTTCTCCTCTTTGGTAGTATAGGTTGTCTCTTTAGAAACAATAATGAGATCAACAAATTTATCATTTGTAAGTATTTAAGAATTACCATTAGCTACCAATCTTCCTCTTCCCTTTCCCTTTTTGCCCTGCTTCTCCTTCTTTATGGTAATAGGGTCATTTAGAAAACTACCCCTTTGTATTAAGCTCTAATTAGTTTTATTTATGCATAATTAAGAACAATTAGGATTAGACATTTTTAGCTTACCCCCCTCTAAACCTGTTCTAATTAGACATGCTTTTCCTAAATTAGGAATTATTAGGATTCATTATAACTTGAAATTTCGGAAAAATCATAATAAATCAAGCATCACAGTTCTCATAGCCTTCTTATAGAGACATGTCTATTAGAGCACTAGTTCAATACCTAAACACAGAATATACCTTATAACAAACTTGCCTTCTGCCAGAATTGAAGCAACAACCTCATATATGCAAGCACCCGGGACAGATGCTTTAAGCCACTAAGCCACAAGATCCAATAAGAGAGAAGGGTTTTCCAAATAGCCACTAGTGAGATAAAGGGTGGGAATAAGGGTATATGTATGGCATGCCTATATATAAATAAGCACAAGATTGTTGGAGGTGATATTAATATGCTTAATGCATATATTTCCTATATGGCAGGCAAATATATCATTTTGGCACCACATACCAATATGACTGTCTTTTCCACAGCCTAATAGCTAGGGGAAAACACCAAGTTTGAGCATCTTCTGTATAACAAGGCAATAAACAATATAAATAGTACTAAAAATTGTAATATCAATAGTAATGACGATTGTGTGCTGCATAAGACAGTATTAACCACTGTATTAATAAACAAGGTCTATAAGGCTGCATATAGCATATCCCTAAGTCCAACCCATATGTTGTGTCCTATAATGACCAGTAGCAGGCATTGGCTAACAATGACAACTTTAATGATCTTGTGTGCAAGGACAAGATACCTAGGTCTTCATAGCCTCTTGTGGCAGCTGCCAAGCTGCCAACAAAGTGTCTGGGGGCATCAATGCACATTTCTCTCTTTCTATATTCCTTGTAAAGGCAGCTGGAAAGTCAGCAAAAGAGCTACAAGATAATGGTATAGGCATATATGAAGGAGAGGTAATGTGCTAAAATAGTATGGAATGTACCACATTTTTATCTTCTCACTGATAGAGCAGTAGTACTTACTATTTCCTACTGATAATTAAAGACTTTTTAGTATAGAATTAGTGCTAATATCATAAAATTAGAAACCAATCCAATGCTTATAATGTGTTGCTCCCAATTAGGAAATTAGACACTTTTAGAAGCTATTAACACTTTTAGATACTTTTAGACACTATTAGATATAATCCGGAGCTAATACAAAGAGGTGGTTTTCCAGATGGTTCATAAATAGGAAGGGATGCCCTAAAGACATAGGGGAGTTGGATATAATATATACAGCTGATGACTAAGAAAGATAAATAAAGGCATTTTGAAGAATGACTGATACAAGGAAGGAAGAATGGGCTTTATATTAAGAGGCTAGAAGGCTGGGTCTAGCAATTGGGATAGGGACAAGGTCTGTATTTTCACTTGGGCTCCACAGATAATTAAAGATGTCTACAATAATCTTGATAGGTATTAATGGCTTAAGAGGCATATGGGTATTCTTGAAGGTTTAATAAGCAAGTGCCATTATAGTAGGCATAACAATATTATGATTGAATGGCTAGGTACTAGTGATATAGAATATAGTATATATGTTGGCTTTTATAACTACTAAAATATAAGTCTTTCCATATAACTTTAGGAAATTCTCCTTCAACACCTGCTCTTCTATTTGTGCCTCATACTTATCCTATACTTGTGTCTATTATCTTTTCAAAATAGAAAAAATTATGATATTGAGGCCTTAGTAGATATGGGTGGCATAGGCTGGGTAACATAAAACAATGATATTATGGAGCTAAGTGTGCTCAAGAAATTCATGTGTGTAGTGTGAGTTATGGCCATTGATGAAGAGTAGGTAAGTATGACTATTTGCCTAACCTTGAGTATGGGTCTTAAAATCCTTTAAAAAATATATTAGTGTCTAATATCTCAACACATTTGGTTTAGAATATACCTTTATCCATTTGACCCTAATCTTATTATCAACCCATCCCTTTTTCCAATATCCATAGCTATTGATCTATAAACTCAATATAAGATTTTCTTCTCTTAATAATCATAAAAGATATACAAAGCCTCCAGAGGATTTTCTTGTTTCTATTTTGACTGAAAAGCCTGCCTTTTGAAGATGACCATTAGAGTGATTGATATGCTATTTATACAAATAGTGACTATTATAGTGATATTCTCTCTGATTATACCTTGCTGCTAATACTACAGCTTCAATCCAGTGGTGCCAATTATATGTTCATAATGTCAAAGTAATAAATAAAAGCCAGTCTTATCAGTAGCCCAAATACAGTCCTTACCAATATCAGGATGCTCCTTTAATAATCCTTCAACTATATCATACTACAAATTATTTGTCACTGGATTGACCATATGACATCACAGCTGCTCTAGCTTTAATAACTAGTACCTGGCATCATTAAGACCCTAACCTTTCTACTATATAAGATATTACACACTACAACCATAGTAACACTTATTAAGGATATTGTCTATCTCAAACTCCTCAGCACCATTAGTAGACAACTATGGGCCAGATACTACTATTGTTATTATTATTGTTATTACTAAACATCTAAGGGACAGTGTTTACTCAACCTTTGTAGAAAGTTCAAGAAGGAACTTGACAAATTGAAATGGCTTCTAGCTACCAAAAGAGATTACATATGGAGCACAAGATACAGATATAGGAGTGATTGGGAGAGACTTCCAAGAGATGCCTAAAAAGGACAGAGGCTGGTGTGATTGCTCTAGCCTATGTTTCTACTATGGACAACGCTGCGGACATCCTGACCAAGGCTGTTCTACCTAAGAAGGTGAAGATTTGCTGCAGGTTGATGGGACTAAAGGATCTGCCGTATTAGGAGGGTATTATGGATGCTCTAGAGGTGTGCAATGAAGAGGGTGTGATGTTTGTGTGTGTTCTAGCTGATGTGGCATATGTGCCATATGCATGCCACAATATGGACTCATTGTGGACCTTTTGACTACATTGTAAGATGGACCACCTGTAATGACCCGTTGATGTCATACCTTTCTTTTTCGTTTCTTATTGTTCTCTATAGCTTAAATACCCGTGGTCCGAGGGCGATTCTTTCCTCAGACTCTTACCCTCTGGACCACAAGTGCGCTCCCCTCTGTTCTCTGTATCTACTTAGACTCTTACCCTCTGGACCACAGGCCTGTCGTTATAGAGCTTCTTTTTGGCATTCTCTCTGTGCCAGTCGCTTCGTTGTCACTGCGCTCAACAACAGTCCTGTTGTTATAGAGCTTCTTTTTGGCATTCTCTCTGTGCCAGTCGCTTTGTTGTCACTGTGCTCAACAGGTTATGGGTCCTGCGCTCTAGCGACTTTGCTCTACATCGTTTTATCGACACTTTCTGGTCTCCCCTCTGCTGTGCCATTTCATTCTGGCCACACCTCTTTGCTGCCACATCTTCCCTATTGCTTTCCCTGCCTTTCCCTGTTGAGTGCAGTGACAACGAAGCGACTGGCACAAGCTCTATAACGACAGGACTGTGGTTCAGAGGGTAAGAGTCTGAGGAGATACAAAGAACAGAAGGGAGCGCACCTGTGGTCCAGAGGGTAAGAGTCTGAGGAAAGAATCGCCTTCAGACCACGGATATTTAAGCTACACAGAACAATAAGAAACGAAATAGGAAGGTATGATATCAACGGGTCATTACATGTGAAACATCTTACAAAGCGGTCAAAAGCTCCACCTGGAGGTCGGTCCGGAGTGTCAATGACATCACACAGGACTGCCTCAGCCAGCTAACCTGGTGAAACAACTGAAACAAGGTGAGACAAGGTGAAAATATAGTGCGACAGTCCAAAAGGAGAAAGAAAGCAATATACCCGCTCTGGGAGTGGCTGTAGGGCTGCTCCCAGCTGTAGAGGCGAGTAATCAATGAGTTCCAAAGGTGGCACGCATGTGGCATGGATGCCACATCAACCAGAACGGCCATAAACAACACCCACTCCATAGCCGTAGCGGCACTTGCCACGACGTGGTTCCATTCCTTGCCATCATTCACTTTTCTCTCCATCTCGCTAGGTTGGCTTGCGAGAACAGCCATGATGCACTTCTTGTGGTCTAGCACAGTGTATGGGGTCCTGTACTAAGGTCAATGAGAAGCCATATTGGAGTCTGGTGTGATGAACCATCCATCCCACTCAATGTAGTGGAGACATCCCCCTGTGTGTCAACCTCGAGGGGAATAGGCCACCTTGCAGTGCCAGAGTAGGCCTTGCTGAATGGATCCTGGTCTTCCTATTCCTGCATACGATGCCTCTTCATCCACGCCTTCTTGGCGACAGCGTGGCGTTTTCGGCGCTCCAAAACCTCTTGCTCTGGTAGTGCATCTTGTGCTCGCTTCTTGTTCGCACACTTCCTGTCATAATACTCTTGAGGCTTGGGTGTGTCAGAAGTACTAGGTCTGGAAGTGGGAAGGCTCTGGGTGTTTGTGACCTGAGTGTGAGGTGCAGGGACCTGATCCAGTGAAGAGGATGTCAACTCGCTCTTACTTTCGACCAGCATTAGGGAGGTATCCCATTTGTCTTGTACCTCTGTTGGCAAAGTGGCAGGTGGTGAAATGGGCGAGGAAAGTCCCTCTGTGAAGGGGGGCATTTGGAGAGTATGGTTTAACCCAGGCAGCCTCTGCTCGTGCCATGGCTTCTTGGAGTAGCCTACCAAACTTTAGGTTGATGTCTATTCGTAGATGTGACAAGTATTGATGGCCTGATCGAGTCTGTGGTGGAATTAGCAGAGATAAGGAGGATGTGGATGGCACTTACGTGGAGTACAAAATGAGTTGAAATTGTGGCCTAGGGTGCTAGATGCTTTGTCAGTGAGTTGGTCATATTTTTAAGAAACAGGTGCAAGAGTGGCTGTGTTAGATGGGTCTGCCACAGGATGATCCTGATCGATGGGAGCATCTTCGAGATGACCAGCAGGAGGAGGAGCATCTGCTTCCCCCCCCAGGACCGGCACCGGATCCACTCCACATCAGCATCCCAAAGACTGAACAGAGACGAAGGAGGAGGGGTGGCAGACTGGGTGTTAGCATCAAAGTTGCGAGTGCCAGGAAAGAATCGCTCATCAAAGTCTGCCCTTTCCGAAATGATGACCTTCCGAGTCGCAGGATTGTAGAACTTCCACGCCTTGTAGCCCTCAGGATACCCAATAAACACGCACTTCTCCCTATGCGATCCAAATCCATCTCTTTTGTCCCTCTGCACATGCACATAAGCCAAGCAGCCCCAGACCCGCAAGTGCGAAACGTCCGGCTTCTTCCCGTGGACCATCTCAAATGGCGTCTTGCCCTTCAGGGTAGACGTCCAGAGTCGATTCCAGACGTGCACATATGCGGCCAGAGCCTCGCCCCAGAAAACAAGCGGCAAATGCGATTCAGAGAGCATCGCGGTGACGGCCTCCATGATAGTGCGATTGGCACGCTCTGCCACGCCGTTCTGCTGTGGCCGATTGCGTGCCGTGTGCCTCCTAGTGATCCCATGCTCCAAACAAAACGAGTCCCAGGCATTGGACATGTACTCTCCTCCCTTGTCATCCTGCAAAGCCAAAATGCGCTGTCCAGTCAGGTTCTCCACATAGGCCTTGTAGCGCTTGAAAGCCTCAAACGTGTCGCTCCTCAAGCGCAGGACATAGACCACCTTGAGCTTGGTGAACTCATCAATGAAGGTGATCCAGTAGCGCATTCCAGAGTGAGTGGCAACAGGGAGAGGACCATGGAGATCAGAGTGGACGAGTTGAAGCGGTTTGGAGGTCACAGAGCCAGTGGAGGGGAAGGGGTGAGCGTGCATCTTGCCAGAGAGACAGGGCTCGCACACAGGGTCAGGCTGCACGTCCGAATCGAGCTGTAGACCAGTAACGAGTTGTTCCTTCACCATCTTCTGCACTCCAGCATGGTGGTGGTGGCAGAGACGACGATGCCATAGGGACAAGTCAAGAGGGAGAGTAGAAGCGGCACCCGCAGACTGCAAAACAACGGTGGATGTGGTCCCTTGAAGATATGCGTTGTTGGAACCATCAGGAACGATTGCCATGAACCACACTGCACCGTCCCGGGAGAAATGCATCGAAGATCCTTCTATTAGCACAGAGAAGTGCTTGTGCTGAGTCAAATACAGCACAGATAGGAGATTACAACCGAGATCAGGGACATGCAGGACGTTTGAGAACTCCACAGACTGCGCCCTCTTGCCTCCAATAACCGGATTGAACACCATAGTCCCAACACCAGCAGAATAGATGACAGATGAGTCTGCAAGACAAATAAGGACAATGAAGAGACGATAGTTGCGAAGCCAGTGGCGATGGGGCGTCATATGAGAGGTCGCACCTGTGTCCGCGTTCCAATCAAGGTCAGTGACGAGTGAGGGGGCTGTGGATGAAGGGGATGGAGCAGGGGAACGAAAACTTGCATTGCCTGCAAACTGCATGGGACCAGAGGCTTCAGGAGCCTGAACCGAGTGGGCCTGCTGTGGCTTGGACTTCTTCAGCTCCTCATTGATCCTCTTGAAGCACCTGTCATCAGTGTGGCCAGTGGCACCGCAAAAGTCGCACTTGTACTGCGTCCTGGGTGGCCTTGAACGTCTGTAGGAGGTGGAGGAAGAGGAGGGAGATGAAGGAAAGGATGCCACAAGGGCCTGTGCAGAGTCTGTGGGATCAGAACAACGGGCACGGTTCAAATCCTCGCGCCTGAACGCGTCCTCGAGCTTGGAGCGAGACAAGACGTCCATGAGACTGAGGGAGGAGCGGAAAGTGTCAAACTCAGAGGGGAGAGACCACAAGAGGGCCATGCAAGGGAGCTCCTCGTCCTGCTTCTTGAGATCGAAGCCAGAGTCACTGAGGTTCTTGAGGACGCACATAGACTCGTCTACACGATGAATGAGGGACTGGAGGGACTCATCGTTGCGCTTCTTGATCGAGAAGAGGTCCTCCATCGCGTTGAAACGCGATCCAGCAGACTTCTTGTTGAACTGCTCCTTTAGTGTGGTCCAAATAGCGATGGGGTCGTCCTCAATGCCTCTGAACTGGTCCTCAACTGAAAGTAAGAGCGCACCAGCAGCCTTCTGAGCATTCCTCTTCCACTCTGCCACCTCCCTTGGGTCAGCAAGCTTCTCCTTCGTGCCAACAGGGGCTGTCTCATCACCAGAGACCAGAAGCCACAGGCCTTTGAGACGAAGCCAGGCCTTGGTCTCCTTGGACCAGGAAGGGTAGTTGCGATTATTGAGAGGGGAGATGGAAGGGAGAGCGAATGAGGGGTCAGACATGGTGTGGGTGTTGAGCGCAGTGACAAAGAAGCGACTGGCACAGAGACAGTGCCAAAAAGAAGCTCTATAACGACAGGACTGTGGTCCAGAGGGTAAGAGTCTAAGTAGATACAAAGAACAGAGGGGAGTGCACCTGTGGTCCAGAGGGTAAGAGTCTGAAGAAAGAATCGCCCTCGGACCACGGGCATTTAAGCTACAGAGAACAATACGAAACGAAATAGGAAGGTATGATATCAATGGGTCATTACAGGTGAAACACCTTACAAAGCGGTCAAAAGCTCCACGTGGAGCTTGGTCCGGAGTGTCAATGACATCACACAGGACCGCCTCAACTGGCTAACCCGGTGAAACAACTGAAACAAGGTGAGACAAGGTGAAAACAAGGGAGACAGTCCAAATGGAGAAAGAAAGCAATATACCCGCTCTGGGAACGGCTGTAGGGCCGCTCCCAGCTGTAGAGGCGAGTAATCAATGAGTCCCAAAGGTGGCACCCATGTGGCATGGATGCCACATCAACCAGAACGCCCAAAAACAACAGATGGAATACCGGCTCTCACCAGTCTGGATGGGAGTAGTTCCATGTCTAAGGCTGCTGGAAGGTATTAGGATTGTCGAACCTGGAGGGAATCTGATTACAAGCCTCAAGTCCCATAGGTAAAAGTAACCACCCTTGCTTGGATTGAAGTCTCCAAGAGCGGTTATAGAGCAAAAACCTTGAGGAACATTAGTACAAACATTATGGTCCAAGCATGTTGTATCAGGGCCCATGTTGAAAGTCATTGTCGGAAAAACACTGTTATCGAAGTTCCATTGAAGTTCTGGATGGCGCTCTATGAGCTGGCTCATGGTTGTTCTGTAGAAATCGTAGGTTTTCGGCGCATAGGATCCGAATGCAGCTGAAAAGCCAGCCAATTAGCACATCATTAATTTGAACAGTCTAACGAAACTTGCCACTAGCGAAACCTGCTATCCTTTTGATGCTCTTCTCCTTCAACAGGCTTTCAAGGATTCTGTTCTGGTGATCAGAATGACAAAGGTTGCCTGCCTTCTGTTATGCTTAATTAGCAGCTATTATGCTTCAGTTCGCTCCACCTCACCTTTTGGCCGCCACCATAAGATGGACTGACCGACAATGCCGCATAATTTCCCCTCCTATGACTTCGCCGCTCTTGCTTCAGGAACTTTTCTGACTCCAGCCGAGCAGACTCCAACACTTCTGCTGCCTCCTTCATTGAGTCATCCCAGCTGTCCTCTCATTGCCGATCACCATTGTCAGATGGTCAGCTGACAAGGGCACCAATGACAATGTCCTGGCTATCTAGCAGTGCATAAGGCATACTAGATGGCAATATAGACTATTAGTACAGAGATCAAGGTGTGCCGATGCAAAACTCACCGCCCATCCCACTCGAAAAATGAAAACCCTTGCTCTCAAAGGTCTTCATTCGTCCACGGTGTTGCAGACAGGCAGCGCATTGGCTTAGCCTTGTAGGCACCCTTCGTCACCTTGTAATTGATTGCGTTGCAATCGATCTTGATAACCCCAGGCTTGCTGAATTTCGACACAAAGCTCGGCTTCTGCCGCCGGGTAAACGGGCCCTGGGATTCCTTCTCTGCCTTTTGCTTCTTGTTTCGACGGTGCTTTGAACCCTCCCGTTGCGACTCTCGAATTGGTCTCATGGTTAGGGTGTCAAAGGGTGACAACAGAGCTGCTGGTCCAAGAGATAGCGGAGGTACTGCTTCCGCATTATGCAATCCGCCGTCTTGCCTATAGAGTCAAGGGGTAGGGTGTCTGGTGGGGTTGAAAGAGGTGAGGAAGTAAGTGGAGACAATGATGTCGGTGACCATGAGCCCTTGTCCTCCACCTCTTGTGCATCAGCGAGGGCATCATCATCCTCCACCTCTTGTGCATCAGCGAGGGCATCATCACGAGCGATCACCTAACGCAAGAGGGCACTGAATCTCAGGTTTGTCGCCAGGGCTGTCAGAAACTCAGTAAGGGTTGAAGAATCCCCCGCTTCGAATTTTAAGCTGGAGAAAATGCGGCCAGATCGCGTCTACATGATACAGAAAAGGTTGAGCCTCAAAATCTGTACAATGGAGTAGTCAGCTTACTTTGGAAGCCATGGTTTATGTAGATGATAAACAGATGTCCTGTGGGAGGCCAATTAGCAAATTTATTCATCAGAAAGAAGCCAAAGATTGTTTTGGTCCTCAGTGCCCTGGTCGGACTCATCGGTACATCTGGAAAATCTCTGAGGTAGTCACAGGTTCACGGCCATATGCCCTCAATGCCCTGGTCAGACTCATCGGTGCAACTGGCATGCCACTGTGGCTGGAAAAAAACAAATAGATGTAGGTAGACAATCATATTACCTGCCAAGTAAACACAACAACAGTGGCTATCAGCGCAGTTCATTGACAGTGGCTGGTGAGAGTTGCATCGTCTTCATCGACAAGTTGATGGATGGAGGCAAGGTTGGCCGGAAGCTGACTAACTTTAACAGCACGCGCCTGTGGCTGAACATAAGCGCTAATCTTTAAATTGACATTATCAAGCTGGCTATTATCATGCAATTCATCAGTCAACAACTTATGGTATCATAGCTCAACAAATGGCTGAAACAGAAATGGAAGGTGTTATTCCCATAGGGTAATTCTCTATACTCGCCCCCAAGGATGAACATCAGCATGGTTCACCTTTTCCTACCTACTAATCCATTCGTTGTTGCCTCCTCACCCAAGTCGTCTGTGACGTCCAAGCTCTGTAAACCCCGAGTGACTACAGAACAGTGTGAGCTCACAATTTGATTCATCACCAAGCCCCCTGCAACATCTCTATCTATAAACCTAACCCAAGTCGTTTGAGATATCCTTACCTTGTGAAAACCCAAGATGTCTGAGATGTCCTTACACCGTAAGCCTGACCCGAATTGTCTGTGACGTCTATGCTCTGTAAACCCTGGGTGACAGCAGAAGAGTGTCAACTCACTTTGTCATTCAGCACCTTATAAACCTGGCCCGAGTCGTCTGTGACGTCCTGACCCAAGGCATCTGTGACAATCTGCGCTCTGTAATCCCTGGGCGACTGCAGAAGAGTATCAACTCACTTTTTGATTCAGCACCAAGTCATCTGAGGCATCCTTACCTTGTAAACCTAACCCAAGTTGTCTGTGACGTCCACGCTCCGTAAACCCTAGGTGACTGAAGAAGAGTGTGAGCTCACTCTTTGATTTTGGGTCAGGACGTCACAGACGCCTCAGGTCAGGACATCACAAACAACTTGGGTCTGGCTTACCGGGTAAGGACGTCCCAGATGACTCGGTTTTGAGTCATCTGCGACGTCACCTCTCTGTGAACCCTGCGTGATGGCAGAACAGGTGGGCAAGACTTTGGTTGAGCAACAAGTCATCTGTGACGTCCTTACCCGGTAAGCCAGATCCGAGTCATCTACGATGTCCTAACCCAAGTCGTCTGCGACGTCCTGACCCGAGTCGTCTGCAACGTCCTGACCCGAGTCGTCTGCGAAGTCGCCTCTTTGTGAACCCTGCGTGATGGCAGAACAGGTGAGCAAACATTTGGTTCAGCAATAAGTCGTCTGTGACGTCCTCACCCTACAAGTCTAACCCAAGTCGCCTGCGTTGTCCTTGTAGTGCTGAATACAACGACTTGTAGTCAAGCGATAATCTATTCCAACCCCGATTCCTAATCTTACAAAATAAAAATGTTGTATTATGTTCGTCTCTTCATTATAGAGCAGATTTGTGGGGACCCACTATCAAAGTCAAATTGGTTCATCATGCATAGCTCTCAAAGATACAACTGTACCACCACTGCACTAGGATGGCGCTGTCACGATACTGCGACCGTACTGTCATTATATTATGATCGTATCGTCACGCTACAGTGTTTGTTAGGTCACTGCGACAGTTGAGTGATCGTCTTAGGTTACTATAAGCCTGACCCAGGTCTTCCACGAGGTCTGTGCTCTGTCAATTGTTTTGTGAGATAAGACACATGATTTCCAACAAGACCCTACCCAGACCTGTTACTCGTAGTGGAGCAGAGGCAGAGGGTGAGCCAGTCGTCACCCAAGCTCGCTCACAGTGTCTTGTGGAGCATCACGATAGGACCAGCAATGTGTGTGTGCCGATGAGTTGATGCGTCGATGCCGCACCCACAACATCTGAAAAATGAAGGGTGGAATTCACGCCCGAGGGGCGGAAATGGCCAGCGACGACAACAAGCAGGATGAGAGTGAAACTGAGGGAAGATATATTTAGTAAGGGCAGAAAATAAATCAACAATGGAGGTACTTACCTTGAGGCAATTCCAAGAATCATAGACAAATTTTTGAGGTTGGTGGATGAGGTATTATCTGTTGTTATTGATGGAGGGGGACGGAGAGAAGTTGGCTGGCTGGATGACGAAGTGATGGCTAAGACGCATGTTGTGTACAAGCGCTCGGCAATGTCCCGAGGTGTGGTATGACATGTTTCTGCTTAGCTCAGTGCGTGACACTGCGCGCGATCATGTACAACTTCAGCATAACTTGGTTCTCATCGTTGCTGTCGTCATTGTCGTCGTGTTCAACCCCACACCTTTGGCCATGCATTCTACAACATTCATAATACCACCTTTGTACTTGCCATTGCGCCGACGACTCCTCTCCGACATCTATCCATCGGATACCTACTGCGTAAGTGACATGCGATCCTCTTCTTATAGGTTCACTGAAGTGCTCCACTTTCTCAGGCCTCGAGCTCTCATCAGGAAATCTCCTCTTTGCAGTTGGACCACACACAAATATCACTCTCTTTCCCGTACTGTCTTTGGATTTTTTTGCCTTTCAGGCGCAAAACCACAGCTCTGTCCCTCGGACGTGAGTTGCCTTTGATGCACGCCCAGCGCACCGGCCCACACACCCATGTGCAATCTTAGACGATTTGCGGGTCTCCCCTCCCCTCCTTTTCATTTGGCACTTGCAAGAACTCTGAGGCCCTCATAGCCCTGTAGCATTAACGCTCCTAGAGCCACCATTTACTCAATCTTAGCCTCCATGCCAAATAAGTAAGCTACTTTTGCCACATCTTCACGAGGTCATCCTATACTCATCTGCTCAAATCAGTACGTCTCACCCCACGCCCTACAAGTCATTAGAGGAGATTCTCGCTGCCCGCGTGCCGAAATCAGAGGGGATAGCACTTGCCCACAGTGATTGTCTCATCCTAATGCCATTTCCAAACAGCAACGGCGGGCTGTGGATCTCCTCGCCGAACATGGAGTTCGTGCCAGAACTGCCTACCTACGAGGACAGTGTTCCATTCAGCTTCTTTTCCGACGGAATGCTGGGGGCCTTTGAACATCTCAAGTGGCCTCAGGTCTTTGATGGAAGAGAGCCACACGCCATCGCCATCCCGGGCAACCCTGATTTGATGCTGAACATCAAGATCCAGGAGTTTCCCTTGCTAGACGCAAAAGAGATTTTACCCGATTTTGAGGACAAGGACATACCATGGTTGGCCGTTGACTCCAAAGACTTCGACGTAGCCCTGCATTTACTGCAAAAAGACGTGGGCTTTCTAACTTCTTCCATGCATGCTCGCCTTCACACCGCCGCGAGTGAGGTCATTGCATGGGCCATCACTGAAGCTGACAACCTATCCTACGTGGGTGAGCAAGATGTGCTACCGCCAGAGCAATAGGCCCTGCAGTGCAAGAACATCGTCCTTCAGGACGCAGACATGCTACGTCATGCGCTCTCATGTTTGCAGGAGACCCCAATGTCTTCCTTCGATATCCTCATGTGGTTCAGAGAGTGTCAACACCTGATCCTTGCCTTTCGGAGCTGGCTAACCTATACATTGGTCATTTGCCCACGACTTGATGATCCCGACTTTGGAGACTACAACAACGTTTTGCCTCTGCGAGGAATCTTCACTCGGAAGGAATCAATGGTGTAAACGATGTTTCGTTGTGACATCCCTGTTTGATGGGTGCGGCCATTGCACATGCTCACCGATCACATCACCATCATCCGTGTCCATAATCCCATTCACTCTGCAGTGTCTTTCTTTAGTTAGAGAGTCATGGTGCACGGAGGTCGTCGTTTAGCTGCGCCGAGCTGGCTGGAAGCGAACATCCATGACAACACTTTGGAAGGATTCGGGGACATGCTCAGGCGATACAGTCTCACTGGGCAGCCGACGGTCCAGTGTGCTATTGCAGTTCTGAGGGCTGACCGGGAAGGTGGTGATCGTTCTGAGACACAGGAAGAGGGTCAGAGTCAGCAAACCTCTATGGATGGTACGCGTTCCTCAACAATAAAGACTACAGTTACTGATTAACATTTCGCTATAAGGCGCTCCGGAGCAAGTCAGCGGAAGTGCATATTTTGGCTCATCTCACACATGCCATCCACCGAATTTTCACTTCTCATCTAGATCCAGGCAAAAGAAGAAGGGGCGCACGAATGGCGAACCCTGTTGCACCGGCCCCCGCCGTTCCACCAACAATAGAACCTCCCAAGTGGCTGAGCGCTGTGTCTGCACCATGAGATGCTGTCGTTGCAGCAGAGCCATCGCTTGAGAATCTTAGTTCGCAAGCTTTGACGTATGCCCTCCCACCGCCACATCTGTTTTGCTCTACCGGTGACAGGCAAGCACAAAGGGTGCAGAATTGGCTACAGATTAGAACATGGTGCATGTACCAGGCCTATTCGTGTGTTGACCAGGCCCCGGTCCTCATGATGGCCTCGCAGTGGAAAATTGCCTTGGAGGGCAACTATTTCGCTGTCTACTATCCAAAGGGGGCCGAAATCCTGCCTGAGTCCTCTGTAGCTAACATCCGACGCCTTCCTGAAGCCCCAACACCTCAGTCGACCCTGGGAAAGCGCGCTCGTTCTGATACCAGGGCAGACAGCAACGTCAAGCTGAACAATGTGGAGCGGCATCGTCTCAGGCGGCTCATGGAGCAGGTGGACATCAACATCTGGTTTGAGGTGCACGGCATGTTTAGCCCTTATCGCCCTGATGCCCAGCCGCTTCCGACATGGCAGAACAGGACTGTGAACTTCGATCGGGCCCGCAAGGATGAAAATTTGTGGGCGGAGCTCACTTGGGAAATCTCGGTGACCATGTTCTGCCTGGAATTTCTAGTATTGGACCAGGATGTGGTGCCGCACCTCTATGACCCGGAATAGAGCGACCCGTCTCGCCCTCATCAGTATGTGATCATGTGCATCTGGAACAATGAGTACAAGATTTGGGATCAGCCAGGGCATGATGCGCAAGACTGGCTCATATTCCCCAACTGGCACGTGCGTCAAGCTGCAATTGGACACATGCTCTTTGCCATAGAGGCTTGGCCGCATCAAGACCCTCCTTTTCCTCAGTGGGATGTGCAAAAAGAGCGAGATACTCTTCCTAGAACTCCTGAGCATGAGTGCCAGACTGTGCAGGAGCAAGAACATGCTGAAAGGCTCCAAATGACTTCTTATACTCTTTAATGTAAGCATTCAGCACCAAACTTGCAGGGCTCCATTTGTCAGCCTGTCTTTAAGGATTTTCCTAGACCCTTGTACCCTACTGCTTTCAATTCTGCTCAGCCTTCCTTTTCTCTTGCTCTTCCTATTTAGCTCCACCAGCCCACTGCACTAGCCCTTCCTATCCAGCCACACTATCTTATGGTTGCTACTGCTCCTATTCAGTCTCATTATCCTGCTCAATATGTTCCTCCTCATTTCTATCCCCTACTCATGTTCCAATACTCAGTCTATCATAGTTCCACTGCTTATCAGATTCCTGGCCAATATCCTATCTATGCTCTTCTTCCTATGCTTATATCACCACCTCATTATTGGCCTATAAATGTTTTTGCCTATCCTAATATTCTACAACACTTGATTGGAAACATGATAGATAGGCTTGCATACATCTTGCAGCAGCTAGCCATCCTGATTATGAGCATCATATGATGGAGAATTTTGAAAGAACTCATGCAGAACGTAGACATCATTGCAGAGAAAGCACAAGGCCTGAACCCGATAACCCTCCTCATCCTACATCTTTTATAAGACAATAGGAAGGGATAATTATTATGCAATTCTTGACCAGCAATATTAGCAAGATATTCAGTAGCAGCAGCACCTTCATCATCAGCTTGATCTTGCAGAGCAGGCACATTATCTAGACCTTGAAGAGCAGGCACATTAGCATCACCTTACCATCCAACAAAATCATCAGGCTGTAGTAGCTCATTAGGCTCTCCAAAATCTGTCTCTAGGCTGTTGTCCATATCAGGAGCCTATTGCACATCACAGCCTTGGTCTTATGAATATAGAATGTGCTTACTATCTTGTACTCCATTTCTAGACATTACAATAATACTAGTTATACCTAATTGGGATCAAAAACTTTTACATAGAGATCAATACAAAGTATATTAAAGGAATACTAAACTTACCAGATCTTCAGCTAAATATAGCAATTAACTAATAGATTCAAAAAACCTTAATATTTGACTTTTCTTTGATAAATGTATTAGCTAAATAGCACAAAGGACTAAATCTACTATTTTAGTAGCTATTAGTAAATAGAAAAGTGATAGAGCTTGATGATAACTCATAGTTTGATAATATTGTATTGTATTCAATGTTTAAATAATGGTACCACAATTTTCAAATTCCAAGACCATTAGCTGCTCAGAGCTATTCAGTTTAGAAACTTTTATTAAGCCTTTTTATTTACTAGTCACAAGATAAAATATTGTAGGACATATATTACTTCTTGACATCACTTTAATATCCCTTTAGGAAATTCTTAGTATAAGAAGAGAAAAGATTTATCCACCAAGTAGCTAAGTTTTTTTGTTAAGGATAAATTAATATATTGGTGGAATGGGAATTAACCCACATTTAAGATTATCATAAATAAGGCCATATAAATTGCAATTCTTACCAAAGCTTATGAAGGATTAGGCTATAAAGAAGAACAGACAGTATTTAAAATAGTTTGACTTTGATTCTTCTAGCCTTATTTATGTGCCAATGTCTATCATGATATATAATCTTGCTATCAATGCTAAATTTATAGTACACAAAGAATAGAGATCCTACTCACAGCCTCCACTCCTATAATACTATAGAAAAAGATATATGTAAACATTATACTTATGCTGGAAGCAAAAAAATATAAGTATATTATTGTAGCAAGAATTGATTTGCCATAGGTTTTACAATAATAGGCTCTTACAGTTGTATCTTTGGTAGCCTTAGCCAAGTTTTTTTGGAAACAAATATATCGTTACCATGGAACAATGGAATTAGTTGTTACTAATAATGGCCTTGAAGTCTAGAAAGCTTTTTGGTTATTATTGGAATATATAAGAATTTCACAAGTCATAATTTTACTATATAATTCCAAAGCTAATAGTATAGTAGAGTGAGGGCATTTATTATATAGAAAGCGATTATAAAAGTATATAAAGGTGAAATATATAAATAGCCAGATAAAGTCCCAAAAGCTTTCTTTGTAGACTGGATTACTATAAGCAAAGTAATAGGGTTTTCTCTATACTATTTGCTTTATAGTATTTATCCTGTCTTACCATTTGACCTTACTAAAACTACCTTTTGAGTATAAGGATTCAAGTTGGGAATGACTTTGGAAGATCTTTTGGTACTATATATCAATTAGCTGGCAAAGAAACAAAAAAACATTGATTAGGCAGCTGAATTTTTGTTTAGATTTAGATTTTGGTCAAAGAAGAAGTTTGAGGAAAATTTTCCAAAATGGCTTTACTAGAACTACTAATCAAATAGGGAAACTTATTCTTATGCATAATACACCTATAGAAAAAAGCTTAAACTAGAAGACAAAGCCCTAGTATATAGAACCCTATTCAGTAGTCTAAAAAACCAAAGAAGGATTTTCTGTACTTCAGAAACTTGATGGAATAGTAATATAATCAGGGTTGTAGCTTTTAAACTAATACCTTATATTGATAGAAATGAACCACTATTAAAATAGTTAGCACAAGATATTTTCTTAGATAAGAGTTTATCAAGCAGTATTTTCTCTAAAGAAACCTTAGTATTCTTGAAAAATAGCTTTATTTAGAATGGGACTTGCCAAGTAGCTTTTATATATTAAAGGTAAAATATCTTATCAAAGATCTTAAAGATCTAAGTATACATAAAGATATACAAAGCAGAAGCACAGTAGCTTTTCTAGCTTTTTTTCTCCTACTTTATTGTTTATTCAGATATGTTAACTATACCCTCTCATATAGATTGCTATCTTTTAATTTCTAAGGGAATTAACTATGCTCCTACAATCTTCTTCAAGATGGTTAATCCTCAGAATCTTAGCTTATCCACTATATCATCCTCTACCACTCTTTTTATAAACTCACTCCTTCTAATTAGTCATTCTCTAATAGTAAAGCAAATAATTCATATGCCTAATTCTATATTAACATATATGGCACTTTACCTGTTCATTCTTCTATTAATGCACATAAAGCAAAGAGTATGGATAGGGGACAATATAAGCAGAAACCTAAGCTCATAATAAGTATAGATTCAGACATCTAATAAGTAGCAGGGATGTTACAAACAAGGGGGACTAGTATATCCAAGATGGTCCTACCCTATGGTAATCTGGGTATCCAAGAATATTAGACACCTAGATTCTAAAAATCTGCAAAGTCATCTACCAAAGGTTATAAAAGATAATTGATTTAATCTATAAAGGGCTTCTATGGTCCTAGAATGACCCTAACCAAGGATATATTCTCTATACAGCAATGTATATTGGATAAGGGATTAAGGCAGACAAGATACAATACTGATATAGAAACTTTTTTACCAGCCTTTTTTATCTGATATGGGTTAAATCCATGCATTGTAAGACTAAAAGCTATGTATGATTCTGGTATGTTTGGCCTAAAGAACAGTTTGCTACTAAAATCTTTGAAATTTTGAAGAATATCCATGTCCCAGATATCTTTATTGCTCTAGTTGCCATCAAACCAGTTGTAGTCTTTATTGATAGATATTTGTAGTTACAAAGCATTTTTCTAAGCCAAGTCTTTAAGTGCTGTTAGAAAAATTAGTAAGATGTGACTGTGTATTTATAACTATAAATCATTCTAGAATTTCAAAGGTATCAATTGCAAGAAGCACTAAATAGAGTCTACTAGTGTATATATTATTCTAAGTAGGAGTGGGGGCTATTGTTTGAATATAATGCATAGTATATAGGGCAACAGACAAATTCCTTAGTGGATGGCAAAAGATTGAGCACATTGAGCACTATCTAAGTGTCTTTTAAGATGTTGGCTATAAAGTGCCAAGTTTAGATAATAAGGCCATCTATATAAGAAAAGAATAGTTTAATAATGAAGTAGACTAATTTGAGGACAAAGGAATAATTATTCAAAGAGACTATACAAACTAAATAGAGTACTACAATTAAATTATGGACTGCTCCTATAATTGGATAGGCTTTGCACAAAGGTGTTGTGAAATAAGGCTCTATCAAACCTATGTAAGGCTCTTGTACTTTATATCAAAGGTAAATTTTACTAACCTGTGTTAATAAAAAGTAAATAGTTTGCCTTAAATTGAGAAGATAGTGATAAGATGAAAACTTGCATTTGGAAAAACTTCCTCTTTTAATTAGATCTAATTATTCAAAATACTAATATGAGCTAATCAGAATATATCATTCATATCCAACTTTATAATCAAATTCCAACTTTATAATCAAATCTGCAAGTAAAAATAACATTGTCTATACTACTATAGTCCTATTAGAATCTACAATCCAATTACAATTTTACACATTCTAAATCCAAATTATGTAAGTGCTACAATCTTATCTTTACTATATTCTTTAATTTTTATTAGTTTACCATATCATTGTCTAGTGCCCAAATTCAAATATTAGCCCTGATTTTTAGGGCATTTATTGACCTCTTTATATATAGAATAGATAAAAGATAAATATGTAGGAAAATCAGAAAAGTTGAGATTGCCTTATTCATATCAACATATTTAGGTTACCAGGTAGATAATTCAGACCTTGTGGCTTAGTAATTTAGAGCACTAGTCCAAAGTGTGTAGGTATAAGGTTATTGGTTCAATTCTAGTAATAGGCAAGTTTATAATAAGGTTTGACTTTAGTTTGATTAGTAAGCTCTATACATACTCTATGATTGAAAATATAGTAGTAGTAGATAAACTATAGAACTAGGTTGGTTAATATTTTTCCAAAAATCCATATAATAAATTAGCTTTAATTAGTTCTGATTGGACCTTATAATTTCGGGATTAGAAGGGGGGTAAGCTAAAAATCCTTAATGATAATTGGTAAAAATATAGCTATATTTATGCTTAACTATAGTTCATTTAATATGAAGCTTTTCCCTAATATAGGGATTGAGATTTCCAAATATGTTGCTTAAAACTATGTAACCATAGCCACTT